TTATTGCCCGCTCATACAGACCAGTGATTGGCCCGATCCAAGGAAACACTCACGTGACATGTGATAAATATATTTATCACTCTCTTATTATTGACCCCCACAGAAACTTGTGATCTCTAAGCGGTCAAATATCAGCATATATTGACCGCTTATACTGACCACTTATTATTGAATGGCAATAAATAAGATAAATTGTGCACTCATAACAACAGCAAAAATGAAGAAAGTCAAGTTCCATAACGTTTTCTTGTGACTGTCATCAGTGGAACGCCGTCACATAAAAATATAATAACTAAAACACACACTTATATACATGTAGCTAATATGGTTTCAGGTAGAAATACAGCAGCTAACAAGTACAAAAAGCGAAGTTTGCACCTTTGCAATGTGTGAATATAGTGTATGTGAGAAAGGTAGTGGCAGATGAATGTGATACTGTGTGAATGAATGTAATGGTGCGTGTGTATTACTTGAAGAGTGTGAGTGATACAACGTTTTCTTTCTGTTTACATAGCACAGGGTCACGAGTACGAATATACACAGCTTCCAACACCTGCAATTGCTTGAAGAAACGTGCGCAACGGATAACACTAAACCAGGAATCGTCAAACACCTTACGACATTCTGGACTGGACACCAAATGCTTGTACACTGCAGACTTCCTCTTGTCAACATCAAACTCCTCCTCATCACTACTCTCATCCTCAACCTCCTCAACCGCATCCTCAACCGCATCAAGCAGCACGTCCCATTATCATTGTTGTCCCAGGCTGCCAGGTTAAGCAGGCCGAAGCGTGGGAGACCACGAAAACATCCGCTGCCTATTTCTACACCTAGCACGGCTCACAATTCGGAAACAGAAACACCGACTACTTCCATGGAGAACGAGCAGACTAATCTGGTTCCCCCCTCGGAAACCGGACCACGGCAAGGGAGGCCGCCGGACGGTCGCTCCTCAACAAACCATGTTGCTGCAACGGTAAGAGCGGAAGGGGAACAACTTGAAAACAGAGCAGAACCGAGGAGAAGCAAGAGACTAGCAGAGGCACGACTGAGACAAGTGGAGAACACAAGGCAAGGAGACGCAGGAGGAAGCACAGGCACGGCACAGAACGAATCAAGGAGAGGGAAGCGGTGTCGCGAGGAGATGGAGACTGATGACGACGAATACGAGTGCGATGGGATGGACGGCGGCATGGGAATGGAGGTTGAGGATGAGAGTAGTGATGAGGAGGAGTTTGATGTTGACAAGAGGAAGTCTGCAGTGTACAAGCATTTGGTGTCCAGTCCAGAATGTCGTAAGGTGTTTGACGATTCCTGGTTTAGTGTTATCCGTTGCGCACGTTTCTTCAAGCAATTGCAGGTGTTGGAAGCTGTGTATATTCGTACTCGTGACCCTGTGCTATGTAAACAGAAAGAAAACGTTGTATCACTCACACTCTTCAAGTAATACACACGCACCATTACATTCATTCACACAGTATCACATTCATCTGCCACTACCTTTCTCACATACACTATATTCACACATTGCAAAGGTGCAAACTTCGCTTTTTGTACTTGTTAGCTGCTGTATTTCTACCTGAAACCATATTAGCTACATGTATATAAGTGTGTGTTTTAGTTATTACATTTTTATGTGACGGCGTTCCACTGATGACAGTCACAAGAAAACGTTATGGAACTTGACTTTCTTCATTTTTGCTGTTGTTATGAGTGCACAATTTATCTTATTTATTGCCATTTTACGACTATTGTCTCCTCGTCGATTGTTTAAATACTTATTATTGACCACTTATTATTCACTTATTATTGACCACTTATTATTGACCACTTATTATTGACCACTTTAATAGCCCGAGGACTTAGAACTTTTTCCTCAACTTGGAAAAAAATCTGAACTGAAAGAAGAAAAATCTGAAGCCAAATGTTGGGATTTTAACCCAAACTGTCAGATTCTCAATCAAGGAACTTGGGGAACATACTACAAGTGACAACTGAAAACTTCTATGTACTATTACCCGAAGGACGTACCCAGAGTGCTGACAGTGCTCAACACCACAAAGGCAGAGCGTAATACACAACAGAACAACAAGGACAATCAAGGCTGGTTTGCTGCTACTTTAAGTTTCATGCTCACGCAATCATCAGGCAATAGTGCCTGATGATTGCGTGAGCATGAAACTTAAAGTAGCAGCAAACAAGCCTTGATTGTCCTTGTTGTTCCGTTGTGTACTATGTACTATTACAATAGTATTCCTTTCTTCTAGGGGTGAAACAATTATACCGAATACTCGAGTACTCGCTCGGTTTTTTCAGAAATAATCAAAGCATTACAACAATGAGTTAACCGATTCTCTCTGGTCTCTTCTGCCTTTTTGACAAAAGTTATGAAATAAATCTAAATAACAGGTGCTCACAATCTAGTCATGCTCAATAAAACCCGGTCTAATGGAAAGGTCAATGCTACCATTTCACCCCTATTCTGAGACAGGTTCAGGTGTCGGCCAATATTTGCAGGCATGGGGCTGGGTGGACTTCATTGAGCAGCACCGTGCCATAGTTGGGAATCACCCAGTGGTTATACCAAGAGTACATAACCCCCCAGAGTGTGCAACTTCCACATACCCTGCTCTCCCGACAGACTTTCAAGTTGACGTCATTAATTATGGGGCTGGGGAGACTTCATTGAGCAGCACCATGCCATAGTTGCGGATTACTCGGTGGTCAAACGAAGGGAGTAGTATGACGCCGGGTTACATAAGCATATGACAGAAGTGTTTCGATTGGTTCCGTCAAGAGTACATAACCCCCCAGAGTGTGCAACACCTGATCCAGCTGCGCATAGGGTCTTGGTCGAGCGGAATCGGATCTTTGCGTCATAATACCGTACACATCTGAGGGGAACCCGGGAAGTCGCGGGTACTCTCGGATCAAAAACAATGGTGCCCTGCCTCGAGACTGGCCTTGCGCTGGCGTGGAGTGTACGAATGACATCAGAAGATCCGATTCCGCTCGACCAAGACCCGATGCAGAGCTGGATCGGCGTTGCACACTCTGGGGGGTTATGTACTCTTGGTTCCGTGTGTGTGGGTCTGAACCTGGCTATAACGATCAGTTTCCAATTGAACTCAGAAACCTCGGTTGTAATAACTCTTGCCGTGCCTACCCTATCCATTCGTCCCTGGCTACTCAACATTTCTCTCACTCGTTCATATGATCACAATGCAAAAGCCTACCTTCGCAGATGACATCATGATGGCTTGCTCCATTACTATCATATAACTCTTCTCTTAACTCGTTCTTGCCCTGCTGGTATATGATATTTTGGTCATCCTCCTCGAGCGATGCCGATATTGAGATAGGGTTGCTGTCACCGCTCGCCATCATCTCGAGATGGCTTGCTCCACTACTATCATGTAACTCCTTTCTTAACTTGTTCTTAACTAGTTCTTGCCCTGACGATAGGAAGATAGGGTTGCTGTCACCGCTCGCCATCATCTCGCCATCAAGATGGCTTGCTCCACTACTATCATGTAACTTGTTCTTAACTAGTTCTTGCCCTGACGATAGGATGAGAGGGTTGCTGTCACCGCTCGCCATCATCTCGCCATCAAGATGGCTTGCTCCACTACTATCATGTAACTTGTTCTTAACTAGTTCTTGCCCTGACGATAGGGAGATAGGGTTGCTGTCACCGCTCGCCATCATCTCGCCATCAAGATGGCTTGCTCCACTACTATCATGTAACTTGTTCTTAACTAGTTCTTGCCCTGACGATAGGGAGATAGGGTTGCTGTGACCGCTCGCCATCATCTCGCTTGATCCACTACTATCATGTAACTCTTCTCTTAAGTTGTTCTTGCCCTTCTTGTACATGACATGCTTGCCAGCCCTCAAGAAAGATGTCCATATTGTGATAGGGCTGTTGAAATTGCTTGCCATCATCTTGTTGAGCAATTCTTCCATGCAGTCTCGCACGCCAAGCGTCTGACTGGTGAAGGCATTATAGTCTACCACGTCGTATCCTCTTCTCTTGCACATCTGGCGGGCACGCGTCAAGTTCGTTTTCTTCTGGCAGCTGTCACCGTCGAGGTGTGGATGACACGGCAAGCCGGCGAGAGCCATCCAGGTGTACATTGCCTTATCTGTACCCAGGCACTTTGTCTTGAAAGCTGAACATAACACAGTACACATGCAAGACACGGTCAGGTGAAATAGCACACAACTGGACCGCAGCCTAACAAGACGTGCACTTGCTCAGTAGGGATACCGCAGTCCTTTTCAGAATTTGTTTACTACAATGATCAGAAATATCATCGGACCATCACAGCTATACAGTAAAACCTGGTGTAAGCGACCTCTGGGTTTAGCGACCACCTGCTCTTAACATGGACCATTTTTCCATGCACTGACAGTTCTACACAGACACTGTGGGACCTGGTTCTAAAGACCACCTAGCTTTAATGACCGCTTTTGCTTGCACCGTGGAGTGGTCGTTTAAACCAGGTTTTACTGTAGTTCTGGTGATGGCAGTCAAATTTTTTTCTGCAGACTTTTCCGCTTGCAGGTCCATGGAGTTAGTTGTTCTGTTGTATAGTGCCGGTGGGCCTTGTGAACTCGGACACTGGCGTGTACGTCGTGCGGACGGAGAATGCCACAAATGTAGAGACCCACCAAGCGCAGCTCACAGCCAAAATAATCATAATGAACAGCAGTCGTGCTTTCAACTACTGCAAATCGCCCAATATTCGCGTCACTAAATTTTCGCGATTTCTTAGAACCAACAAATTTGCGATGGCAAAAGGTCGCGAAGCACAGGGGCCACCTACATACACCCACTGTTGAAGCTCGATTTCACGCTGGTTAATATTCGCATTACGCTCTTCTCGCAAAAATAGCGAACATTAATCCGTCGCAAACATTAGGCATTTTACAATATTCCAGAACAAATGAACAAAACAGGGATTTACTTCATAGTTCATACGGCATATACTTACTGTGCTGACACTGATCTCCATGGAAACCTTTCCGGCAGATGCAGGTGCCATTTTCAGTGCACTGGGCGTCATTCAAGCATTTGCATGCTGCAGCAGTGATTGGGAATATTCACGCATTTTCCAAAGCACACGAAAAGAAACAGAATAACGGACTGTCGAGAAATTGTTCACATGCCCTTGCCCATCATCATGGACGCCTCAAACCAGCTCTTTTAACCACTCACAAGGGTGTCCAACTCCCCATATCAATATTTTTGCCGAAGGGGTAGGGGCGCAGCATTGACTTCCGTGTACGCTGCTTTAGGGGCCATCCGTAATTATCGATCTTTTTCACGAAACGAAAAAGTTTAGTTATGACCCACCCCCACCCACCCACCCCCCTGAAACGAAAAAATTAATTGACTTGAGACTTTGTGCAGAAAATGATCTTGATTGGCTGTTACAACACAGCGAGGCCACATTTTGTGTGATTGTGCAAGTAAGTAACAACGTTAGTTATGTTTTCTTGGAAATCTGGTACTACTTCTTGACCATGGAAACATTTATGTTCACCGACCACACACATACGCTGCTGGCACCTCTACGTCTAAACACGGGAATTGTACACTTGAAAATCGTCAGAGTTCCGACATTGACATGATACTGCCAAAACAAGTCGACTTCGGAGCGGAAACAAACGCCATAGCTATCACAGACTTCAGTGGTCGTGCTTCGCTCGCAAATGAGAGCAGCATCGCCCTAGAATCGCTGTCGGAAAGCTCCGTAAGGTCGCACGCACGCCGCGCTGCGCTGCCGTCAATCAGGTACGTAGAAAGTCGATGGCCTAATTTTCCGTCTCTGGAAGACTGTCGACACGGGGATCACTCTCCATGGCTTCCCCACCATAAGCACGATCAGATTCTTCCAGGTACATTACGACGACATCGGCTTCAGCGGCTGGCGCTCCCTATATTTGCGTGAGAATTTACTTGGCATGCGCCCCGCTCCGTAATTTGAAATTCTCTTGCATCGGCGGCTGGAACGAAGTATTTATCTATCTGTCGTCGGTCCCAGAGTGAATGACCATGATGACTGCTAGGTCCTCGTCGGAGAAGTCATCCGAGGACGAAAGGAACTCACTGCATGCACTGAGTACAGAGTCTGAGAGTGGTATCACTATCAGTGCATCCATGCAGCACTTGCTTGGCCGCGCGACGTAGAGTCTACTGGGTCTGTCGATCTACTTCGATGTACACAATGTATGCATGTATCAATGCATGCAGTGTGCGTTGATTTTTCCGCTTTCGATGTTTTTTCAAAACGAAACCGGTCGCTACCCACCCACCCATAAACGAAACTTTTTCGTTTCGTGAAAAAGATCGATAATTACGGATGGCCCCTTACACTTCAAGTGCAGAGATGTATTAATTTGTAGCTTGGATCAGTTTATTTACAATGCAACACAATATTGTAGCTTCTTCGCCCCTTTTGGTGTAATCTAGTTGCAGTGTTCAGATTAGCCAGAATTCTTGTAGCCGCCATATGCTCTCCCAATCAGTTTAAAATTATCACATTCCGGCTACAAACTGAGCATAATATTATGTTGCAGAATAGGTCGGAGAAGCCCGCATGAGTTGTTTTCTTCTCTTCAAAATACAACATTCAAGCATACGTGAGAGCATAGGTCATACATTCTCTGACATGCCTATGTAGCCCAGCATAGGTATAGTATTTTAATCAAGGTCTGTCGCCTACCTGCCCTCGCAATGGATATACTTCCTTCCTCGTCTTTACTATGAAGCACCCAAACCACGGCTGCCACTAGCCACTGTTTCTCCCGGTTTATTGCACCCACTCTGATTGATAACACATAGTACTGTCTCTCTCTTATTGGCTACGGCCACCGTGAGAATAAAGATAATAATAATGCCTACATACATTACAGCAGCTTTCTTCAGCACTTACCTTCTGTGCATTTAGGTCCATCTAGTCTGGCCGTACATTCGCATACTTTGTTCTTTTTCACCCACGGGTGCGTACACACAACTGCATCACACATCGCAAGGAAGGGGAAGAAGAGGAAGAGAGTAAATCAGCCAGACATGAAGTCAGACAGACTAAGGTTGCATTTGGTTGGGCAATTCCAGAATGATATTGACCACCCATGATTCTGGAATGTTAATGATAGCTTGCATGCCGTCCTACCGGTAAGACCACGGGTATTACCGGTAGAACCCAAGAAATCGCGCTGCAAAAGTGCTGTTGCTTGAGAATCTTGTTGAAACAATTGTTGAGATGAGGTCCTTGTAGGACAAAGTAATGGCGCAAATGCAAGACTATATCCAGGGCATTGCATATGTGCAATTTTATCAATTGTCAAAATGGGCGCCCATGTTCCTGTCGGAGCGCTTGCAACTCCGTCCAAAGTGAATTTCGACCATGGCATATCGATTGCCGTGGCAGTGGAATGCAAAATTCCACACCCTGTTTCCATGGTTACCATGGACTGTTGCCATAGAATTTCTTATATGCCTTGTACGATCACGTCCAAAATGCGTGGACTCCTTCATTAGTGAGTCAAAGTACTTCTCAGTGCATGATTAGAAAATCCCAAGGGAACTGAAAAAGAATACTTGAAGAAAACTAAATCTCTTCTACTTAAATCTCTTCTACTTAAATCTCTTCTACTTACCGAGTTGGCACTTGTCTCCGGTGAATCCTTTCGGGCAGCTGCATTCACCTTTGTTGTCACACCGACCCTGATTCAAGCACTTGCATACTGCAACGCCCATCAATAAACGCATGCACGGAGTGGCATAGATAAATGCACGGGATGTTACTCTATGCTTAGTGGAAATCGAGACATTTATCATTTAGTCAGAACTAGGTCTCAAACATTTGACTGAGGTGGGCATGATCGACAGGGCGTATCCCGAGCAAGTGCGTTCCGAGCAAGTGCGTGATCAATTGGCCTGATCTGGCCGTATCCGGGAGTCGCTGGAGTGGAAATGGACGTTGGCGTTTTTGGCAGCCTTCACAGAATTTTTGTACGACATGCGTGCATTTTGCGTACTACACCGTTGCTTTGTTCGATTGGGCCAGTGTTGCTCAGACTGTACTGCCTGCTCGCACTCAATCAATGAAACCTTTGAGCACGAGTTAACACATTATAAGAACCAATTAGCCGCAGGCAATGTCAGCCATCTCCAGCAAATGCTTCATCCAAGGTACAAGGCTTTCCATGACTTTCAAATGCAGTTTGGCTTTTGTGTTCACATGGAGTAGGTTGCACTTTTTGAAGCTCCCGTAAATCTTTTTTGGTAGAGCCCAGCCGGCATCAGGCCGGACTGGAGGTAGTTTCCGTAGGGTAGCAGTAAGGTTTTTTAGTAGTGCTCGTAGAAATTGGTGACCTCCGCCATGCCTGGGGCCACCACGAGAACAAACACTCGCGCGACTGCCCTGAGTGATGAAGAGCTGAGGCTGATGGCGTCGTTGCCGGGCATTGAGGTATCTGTAGTAGAAATCCTGAAAACATTGGCCGCATTTGTCTCGGAATCGGCTGATCGGGAGACGCGCCTCAACAAACGGGTTGACGAGCTGTCAAGGCAGCTCAAAGATGTGAATGAAGAGTTAGTGTCTCTCCGAGAATCCGCCATTGCCTTGCGAAAAGCTACCCCAAGGCCAGTTCAAACACAGCAGGGTACGGGTGCGGATCAACCTTCGCGTAGGCGTACCAAAGCAGGCAGTGCGGGTACAGGTACTCGAAAGCATGACACCACGATGTCCCGTAGCGTCCCCAGCAACATTTCCCGTAGCGGTGACGAGTGTGAAGAGGATGGCAGCGTCCCCTGCAACATCTCCCGTAGCAGTGACGAGTGTGCAGGGGATGGCGACCAAGATGCCATCCCCACCAAGTCCCAGACAGATGTGACAGAATCCAAGCCAATCTTCCATGTTATTGAGGATGACTCATGGAAGCTTGTCTCCTCAGAACGACCCAAAAACAAGCGTGCTGTGGTGTATGTGGGCAATATCGCCACAGATAGCACTGAGAGCCACTTCAGGCAATTTATCAAAACCAGGAGTGAGTTTCTGGGCGCCTCCATTCCTGTCCACACCTGCAGTGTATGGCTGTCAGAAAGTGGGCGTGCTTCCGCAAGAGTGACCATCGATGCCACTTCACTCTCCACAGTGACAGCGCCCAACTTCTGGCCAAGGCCCGTGTACTGCAGGCCATGGAGGTTCTTAGAAACCAGCTCTGAGGGCAGCACCAGCAGTCGCAGCCACAGCAGCAGAAACAGCACCTCTGCCAGTGTTCTGACTAAACAGCAACAACAGCAGCCGGGTTCAACGTCCTCCTCCTCCCCGCCGCCACCACCACCGCCGCCACCACCACCGGCAGACTTCATCTCCACTCCACTACACAGTGGCCAAAAACGGAGAAACTCCCACCTTTCCCCACCAGAGGCTGGAGACCTGAAGAGATCAAACGGATCTGCGCCACAACATGACCAGCATGATGCGCAGCCACCCCAGCAGGATGCCCAGTCCTCCCATGCCCAATGATGGATTCCAGACCTCTGCGACTGCTAGTGACTAATGCATTCAGCCTGAGCAACAAGATAGGTGCCCTGCAGCATGCAATCCTGCAGTATAATGTAGACGTGGCAATAGTAACAGAAACGAAGCTCTGCTCAGATAATTCCTCCCATGAGTTGACCATCCCAGGATACTCACCCCCTATAAGGAAGGATCGAGATGCCCATGGTGGCGGTGTGGCAGTGTGGGCTAGGAGTGAACTATCCATTACCCACCACGACGATATAGATTGCCGTGATCACGAGCTCTTATGGATTTCCCTGGCAATGCACTCCGGAACAAAGATTGTTCTGGGTGCGCTCTACCGGCCTGGCTCTTGTGCAGAGACAGACACCAGCCTGATGGACTACCTAGACAACACTTTGGATGATGTCCGCCGTCTTGGCAGCAATGTGATAATTGCAGGGGACTTCAACGTGCATAATTCAGCCTGGCTACAGAGTAGCAAGACTACCCGAGCCGGTGAATGCCTGGAGGAAGTCTGCGCAGCACATCATCTTGTCCAGCATGTCACCCAGCCAACCCGCGGCAACAATACTCTCGATCTTATCATCTCCGATTTCTCACACCCCGTATGCACCACAGCCTATGCACCACTTGGACGATCTGATCATGCCGTTATCATTGCCGAGTTTCTCCAACAGCATCCACGACGCGAAGATCCTGCTGTTCGACAGGTTTGGAAATACGCCCTTGCTGACTGGCACCGCCTGAGAGCCTACCTCCGCAACATAGACTGGCCCGCCAAGATCCATGGTTGTGCGGAGCAGTCCTGTCAGCGCGTAACTGATGTCATCATGCATGGAATGAAACAGTTCATACCATCCAAAGAGCTTGTGGTGCACCAATCCAACCCTGTATGGTGGACACCGGACTGCTCTAATGCCAATCATGCCAAGGAGCGGGCATGGACGCTGTGGCGACGCAATCCCCGCAACGATAACCACAAGGTCCAGTACATCACAACTGTTAACCACGAAGTGGAAGCGTGTCATGCAGCGCGATTAGCACATCAACGTAGAATTCGCAACAAGCTTACTGCAGGTTCCCTCCGGGACAAAGAGTGGTGGTCAACCATCAAGAGCGCAGCAGGCAAGGGACGTTGCTCTGACATCCCCCTGCTGACCAACCCTGCAGGACAAGAGTTCCACTCTTCTCGTGAGAAAGCCGAGTGCTTTGCAGCGCATTTTGCGAACAAGTGTAGCCTTGGCAATAACGACCTCTGTGCTGCTGACCTGCCTGACCTGCAACGACCTGCCTATGCCACGCTAAAGCACATTCACTTCCGCGCAGCAACGGTCAAACGGCACTTGGCGAACTTGGCTGTATCAAAAGCAACTGGACCGGATGGCATCTCTGCTCGTGTGCTCAAGATGTGCTCATCTGAACTTGCAGACCCACTGGCAAAGCTCTTCACCCTCTGCTTCTTAGCCGGTGTGCAACCCGGGGCATGGAAACTTGCCCATGTAGTCCCAGTTCACAAACGGTCCTCCAGATCTTTGGCATCTAACTACCGACCAATATCACTGCTAACGATCATGTCGAAAGTCATGGAGGGCATTGTAAACACGCAACTGGTTAACTACCTAGAGAAGCATGAGGTGTTGCCAAACAGCCAGTTTGGATTCCGACGTGGTAGAGGAACCGCAGATATCTTATCGGCTCTCCAACATGAATGGGTCCACACCATAAGTACTGGCGGTTGTGTCCAGGTCCTCGCCGTGGATATTGCCGGTGCGTTTGACCGGGTATCGCACACAGGAGTGCTGTACAAAGCAAAGCAGGCCGGCGTCGACGGACGCCTGCTTGTATGGCTACAGGACTACCTCACCAACCGAAACATCCGCGTTGTGGTTGGAGGCCAGACGTCAGATGCTCAACCCATCCAGGCTGGTGTCCCCCAAGGCAGCATCCTAGGACCCAGCCTCTTCCTTCTATACACCTGTGACATTGAACAATGTTTAACCCCAGGAACGCAGCTGAGCAGCTTTGCAGACGACACCACACTCTACAGCTTAGTACAGCCAACTGACGATCTCCAACAGTCCACCGCCTCCCTCCAAGGGTCCCTCAACAGTCTTGAGGAGTGGGGCCGCAAGTGGCGTATCTGTTTTGAGCCAGCCAAGACACAGCGCATGACTCTACATCGCAAGCACGTTCCCCCCTGCACTCCACCAATCACCTTTGGAGGTGAAGCACTCCAGGAGACAGATACCCTGAAGCTGCTGGGAGTCATGCTCGACCCCACTCTCTCCTACAGAGCGCACACTCGCAGTGTTGCACTGCGCGCCTCCCAAAGGCTGGGTTTCCTACGAAAGGCAGCACCCATCCTGGACGACCATGGTCGAGTGACGGTCTACAAGGGATTCGTGCGACCCCTACTTGAATATGCCCCACTGGCCTGGTCGAGCGCAGCCGCAACTAACATGGCCCAGCTGGACAAGGTTCAGCAACGTGCCCTGCATTTCCTGGGACCTGGAACCATCCTCCAAAGTCTTCAGCTTCGTCGGATGGTGGCAGCCCTGTCATACTTGTTCAAGCTGCACTACATTCCAGGGCCTCCCCAGGTAAAGGCCATGCTGCCACCAACCAAGCCCCCTGCCGTAGCTAGCATGTGCACACGGCAAACACGTCAGACGCACCATGCCTTTCAGCTGAAGTGGACACCCCCTCGCACAGCCCCTGACTACCTCCTGCGATCCTTCCCCTTCTTCGCCATCACACCCTGGAACAACCTGCCTGCGGACCTCCTGCTTCACGAGCCTCATTCAAGACGCCTCCAAACCTTCAAGGTCAACGTATGTAAGGATCTAATCCGAAAGAGATGGCTGTGGTCCACACAGTACCTGTGACGATGATATTGAGATTTGAGACCCATTTAGTATTTACCTCTCTACTACTACTTGCTTGTTATGATTACTGTCCTCTTTCTTCATTTTCCCTTCTGGTTTAGTCATTACACGTATTAATTTATATTATTTGGTGCAATACTAGCGCCCCTTTCTCGCACCAAATTATTATTTTTGCTACCTGACCATGCACCCCCCCCCCCCTTTTTTTCGATGCCAGGTTGCAACGCTAACGCCGAGACCCCTGGTCGGTCGAGTTGCTCCCTGTACATCGGCACGTCGTCCCTACATCCCCTGTGTCTTGTCTTGTGTTTGTCTCCACATGTCTCTTTGTAGGGCTGTGTTCCCAATAAAAAAAAAAAAAAAAAAAAAAAAAAAAAAAAATGCGCATTCTCAGATAAAAACAAAAAAAAAACCCGAATGGCTCGGTGTCTTACCCTTTTCACAATATTGACCATAGGTTGAGGTGCGGTTGCACACACAACTCAGGTTTGGTCCAAGAAAACCGGTTTCACAGGTCTCTGTGCAGAACAGGACAACAAAAAGTCAATTGCATTACTCTCTAAAGGCCGAATACAACTTTCTGCGACGCAACACGCGATTTGCGACAGTTGCGACAAGAATCTGCCTGTCGTGGGCTGTCGCAAGCTGTCCATTGTGCGTACAAGAAATGCTTGAATACGATGTTTGCACATAGCAAGGTCACATCGTACATGGTGGCACATTATTAGCACAAACCCTGTTCGCACAGTTCACGCTGGCACAGGACACATGTTACACAAATGCACAACAGTCTTCATCGTGCTGATGTCACACACAAGGGCAGAGCACTACTTGCGCATGGTCAGCCATTTAAGAAGCCTTGTCTCACTTACTGACACAGAGAATCTGGGCTTGAGTTTTTTTTGTGGCATTCTGAAATGTCTGCTTTTGCGCGCTAAACGTTACGGTTCTGTGAAGGGAACTTCCATTGGCTTGGATTGACGCGACGTGGTAAGGTGCTTGCTTGTGCTTATGCAGTAAGGCCAATGTCCCTAGCCAGCGCTCTGTTAACACATGGCCATGTTCTTGTAGCCAATCCTTGGTAATGAGATGAAATCCGTGCTCCTGACATGCGTCCTCTGCAAACCGCTCAGTCACCCTGGGTCTGAGTGCTGGAGTTGCTGCGGCGTATACAGAATCGTTGGCATGGAGCCATTTGGCTGCAAAACAAGGGCATATACAGTTGCGGGTAGAAACATCATGAAACAAATCATGAAACAAATCTATGAATAAGGGGGGATTGAAATCAAACGCCCCGCTCCATGACACTAGGGCTGAAACGAACATAAAATTTGAGTATTCGAACGTTCTTGATGTTAACGAACGAACGAACGAACATTCTCTAACATTCTCGTCGCACGTGCGTACTCGCGCACGAACCGGCATAGGCAAGAAAATAGTGGAATTTTTGAATACAGTATAGCAATAAACTTTTGTGGCACACAAATTTTGCGTTTTCATGAATGCGGCTGGTTTGTGATGAGAATATTTTGCGATTTTTACCTCTTTTTTAATCATGTAGTTGTGCTGTCTACAATGCACGTACGTGCTGAGCAGTTTGTGGCGATTTTTCTTCTCCAGATTGCGCAATGGCCGCAAAAGTAGCAAAATTTAATCACTTGCGAAAGTTTCTAACTTTACAGTACGTCTTTCAAAAGTTGAGGCACAATAGCCTCCAACTCAGCAACGCCATACTGAGGACCAGAACGTTGCGTCACAGCAACGTTTGTCATCAACTACTTGCTTCATGTTCAGTGTTGATGCCGTGGAAATAACTGCACTCCCAGAGACGACAGAAGAATGCTGAAAGTTACCGTAGTTGTGTTCTCAGGTGAGCATAGAGGTTGCTCGCCGTTTTGCCATACTAAACACACGCTGCGGGAAATCCTGCAGGTAGCTGACTTCTCATCCTAGGATTTGGTAAACTGATCCCAAACAACATGTTTTTAGGGGTTTATCGTACCGTACGCACATTCTCAAAGTTCGAATGTTCGTGAGAACTACGAATGTTCGTTCGCTGTGGCCTAACGAACGAATATTCGAATTGCTGTACCAAACAAGTGATTTACGAAGGCATGGTCTCCAGAAAAGCATGCTCTCTCCAAGCACCAGCTTTCGGTGTCCCAAAGGGGGAGGTGGGTGCTAAAACACAGGTATGAATCGGTTCGGAACCATAAAAGTAGATGTTGAGCATGCATATCAAAGAAACACACGTATTCACTTACTATGCTGACACTGGTCTCCATGGAAACCTTTCCGGCAGATGCAGGTGCCATCTTCAGTACACTGACCGTGATTCAAGCAATTGCACACTGCAGCAGTGATTGGGAATGTTCACATATTTCCCAAAACATACGAATAGGAACAGAACATCATAGCACATTGGATTCTCAAGTCGTTGTTGCCTGTATCTTGATCATCATGACATTGTATAAACCTCAACATCGCTACTACCACGACCACTAAGGGTGCATTCGGAAAAGTTGGAGACTCTCCGAAATGTTGAGAGCTGTTCTTATATCCTGTCCGAATTTAGGAGGCTCTCCAAAGCTCTCCAAGCTTCAGAGGTGGTTTGGGATCAGCGCATGCGAACTAGGCGTGTTGATCATGAGTGTACGCATTTCCCTGTTCACATACGCACAGCGCATATTATATTCGTGGCACTCAAGATCGCGGCCCGTTTGGCGCTTCGTTTTGCTCGACACGTGCAAAATATCTCCGAATTCTTCGAGACCCGTTCTTGAAGTATCCCAGTTTCTTCGACTTCTCTTTTCTTCTACTCCTAGAAGCTAGAGAATATAAGAACGCACACTAACACTCATTCACCAATCCCAGGTATATCCAACTTGTAATCAATTCTTGCACTTTGGTAGAACAATTGTTCACCTGACAGTAGTTGATAAGCTGCAGAACCAGGCATAAATGCTGGCAAGTACCTTTTTTCTTATTCTTTTATTCCTTTTCAGCAGGCGGGTACATTATATTCTTTGACACGCTGGTTAAAATGACAGCAGCTTTCTTTAGCCCTTACCTTCTATGCAGGTGGGTCCATCTAGTTTGGGTTTACATTCACATTCTTTGTTCTTTTTCACCCAGGGATGTGTACACACAGCTGCAATACATACCACACACAGAATAGAAACACAAGGAGCGGATCAGCCTTACACAAAAATGTACAGAAAAAATGACGGACAGAGAGAGATAAATACTATGAGGACCTAACCCCCCCCCCCCCCACACACACACACACATACACATGCACCAACAGCTCTTGATCTCCTCGACACTGTAGCTAAGACAAGTATCACATGAGACCTACGTAACGTCACTGGTCCAACACATGGCACTACTCCGGGCATGCCGAGTAAGGGGAGAATGCGTACAGCAAGAACAGAGTACATGTCCTATGCTTCTAGTTTACTGAATGCTTATCAATGACTGAGACCAAACATACATTACATCATGAATCATACACATTATTAGATACAGTTCAGTGGGACTACCACAACGATACCAGTAGGGCCCTTAGGGTGTTATCCAGCAGAAAACAGCACAAACAAACATTACTGACAAGCATTGAAAAAATTGTATGGCCAAATGGGCAAAAAAAATACCTTGACAACTGCCAATGTTCTGCCAGGATACAAATGCATCTTGGCAAACAGGCAGCGACCCATTGTGATAGTGTCCATCGTTGCATGTTACTGTGCCACTAGCCGACACCGAGGCAATGTTGTGACCACTACCATCAACCGTACAGGCTAATCATAAACAGAAATCACAAAGAAGGTGTATACACACATGAGAAAAGCTAGCAAAACACAACCAGCACAGGACAATTATCAAAATACACAACCATTCCAGGTGCAAGTCAGCGTACCTCAGTGCTATTTATCACCATTTCAACAAGTCTCCAAAAATCACCTCTTGTTAGCGCACTTCAAATGTACATCTCTGAGGTACACATTCTCACGTGTGCATATGTAACAGCAAACAAGTAGGCCAGCATGCAGTGTGCAGCAGGAGTCATACCTTGACAAGCTGGTATTGATCCAAAATCAGCGACATCACCCGAGACGGAACAACTTAGCACGTTGCTCGTGCCTGTTGAAAGCCGATATCCCTGATTGCACTTATACACAGCTGAAGAGTAAAACTTTTCTGAAGAGTCAGAAACAGCAACTTGAATTCCCGGATTCACAACACCATTGGTGATTGCTGCTGGCTCGCTGCACAAAGCTGCAAAGTACAAAGATTGCCCGAATACATGCCATTAATTATTATATTGCAGTACAATGGTGCTGATTTGAACCTCAATATTCCGGCAAGTAACTTCTAACTATCCAAAACTGTATGTTAATTAAACCCAATATCATGTATGTCAGATTGAAATAAGCAAGACCTTCAAATTAAATTTGAAAGAATTGGGACACCTTTAAATTCAAAGGATAAATCAGGGAAGTGAACTGCCTGAAAGGTTTGAGTCCTGGTGAGGTTGGCATTTCTTTCTCTTTCCAGACAGTTCACTTCCCCGACTGATCCTTTGAACCTTCAAAACCATAATTTGAATTATTAGTACTGTAAATCAACAAACTTTCTACGAGACTCGGAGAGAGACAGCATAAAAATGGACTACAGTCTATTCATTGGAAACTGGCACCCCAACTTTCTGGTGTCTCTCTCACATAGTTGTAGATATCGTGAAAACAACAGTACATCCTGCGTTGTGTGACCCGTGCAATTACTCCTTGCCACATTTTGAGGCCAGAAAAGTCCAAGAACAGGGAAATAGAAATTCAGCCAGGTTTTACAAAATTAGGACAGGTATGCCATGGCAAAATGTATGGAGAAGCAGATCCAAAACCCAGATTTTTGAGATTTTTGATCCTCAATTCGGCCCAAATCCGACTTTCAAAAGCCAGCGGGCCAGTTCCCAATGAATGGACTGTTGAAGGAGCCATTGGTAATGTTACAACGACAGCCGTGACTGTAGTATACACCTCGATGTTCTAATGGCTACTACTCAGAAGTGTCACAGGTAAATAATGGAGTGATCATAATATTATGCAATTATTTAATCAAAACGATGGTTGGATGTTACAGAAACCCCTGGAAACAGGAGCTGGACGTTGCAGGAACCTCGCATTTCGCTTCACAAGAGTCTCAAAGTGAAAACAGCCTTGCAATTAAGAGTGTCTAAAACTGATGGAGGCAAAAACTGCAGTGAACTCATGGTACGGAGTCATACCTGATGATTAACACCTATCGAAAGAAGAGAAACAAAAAATACGTTATCGGCAAGCCACCACAGGTGTGCTGCCCTCTTATGTAACAAGGAAGAGAAGGACGTATATAAAATATACCTCTGCAGTTTCCAACTCCTTCCCAATTGCCAGTTGCTGAGTTCTTGGGGCATGTAGCAACTGAGTTGCCTTCAACACGTGTATAGCCAGTTGCACAGGTTACTTGGCCAGTAGTTCTGTTAACACTGGCGATGTTCAATTCATGGAAGTTACAACCTGAAGAGAAAAAAACGCAAAACAAATACCAGTAAGGCAACGTGGAGCCAATAATCTCAATAGTGCAATGAATAAAACTACAGGCGCACTCATAATAAATCACAATCATGGCAATGAATAAATTGTTCCAGAACCAGTTAGTCGTAGAACGTCAGTACTGTCGGTCAGTGTCGTGCAATGTTATCGCATGAGCTGATTGTTTAGTACCCGGCGGTGATAGTGGACATCATAGCGTAACTTGAGGTTCCCTGGTCCTTTTTATTTTCTATAAAGAACATTTTCTCATCAAAATATTATTATCAATGGAAACTCGTGACTGAAGATAGTATCAAAATAACAAAAGGATTTAGACGCTTAGGGCATGATCGATTGGGCGAATCCTGAGCAAGTGTGCTCAGAGTGAGCGGGATCGTTTGGTCGAATCCGACCAAATCAGGAGTAGGTGTACTTAGAGTGGAATCCGACCACACCGGCCCACACACCGGGAGTGGCTGGAGTGGAAATGGACTTTGCTGTTTCTGGACAGCTTTCACAGAATCTTTGTACGATATGCGTACATTTTGCGTACTACACCCTTGTTTGGTTTGGGCCAGCGTTGCTCGGACCACACCGCCTGCTCGCACTCAATCCAGATTCGCCAATCGATGACACGCTTAGAGTGACAAAAATAAGGATACGAGTAAATATGTGGCACATGATGGAAAAGAGAATATCCTGGTAAGTGAGAGTTCCCATAGATAATTGTGACGAGAAAACGTTCTGGACTAGTTTATTTGCTGCTATTATTGTGATATGAGTGAGCTAATTAGTTTTATTCATTGCATTATTGAAATGGAAGTAAAACTCACCAATCTGGCAAGATAGCAGAATCGTTGCAACAAAAGTTCAGACAAACGATTAACTGCTGACGAATTACGTTAGTACAGTCAAACCTCTTTAGCCCGAACACTAATAAACCGAACTTTCCATTAGTACGAACTAGGGCCAATCCTATGGTTGGCCAGGTATCAAATCAAGTCGAAATTATTTGTCAATGACAAACTCCTGAACGATGATCTATTTTCAAACGTGGTTTGAACAAACTGCTGACGAAACACGTTAGTAACTTAGTACCACAAGCAATCAGTCAGTCTGAAGCTCCTATCCCATGCAATGCGTACAACTCCTCACCCTGACAAGAGATTCCATTTCCATAGAAACCATCGTTGCAAGCGCATGAGAATGATCCAAGAGTGTTTATGCAGGCTGCTGATGAGTCACAGTTATGTGCAGTGGATGCACATTCATCGAAATCTGTCATAGGAAAAATTGTAAAAAAGAACATAATTTTACACTGCACAGAAACACACACTTCCATATTAACATATTAATTATTATTATTATTATACTGATACAGGTGAACCGACACTGCATAGTTGGTAGGCAGCTGCCATCTACAATGGAAGTTTGGCTATGAATTAAGTTCCATAGGTAAGCACCAATGAAAACATAAAAACAATATGCAATTGCTCACCATCACATGTAGGTCAAAATCAGACATAAGGAAAATAGCAGGTTTGGTGATGAACCTGCGTTCTGTTTTCTTATTTCGAGCAAGCACTTGATGAAACCATTTGTTCATTCTGTCAACTTTCACTCAGAGTCGAAATGATAACAAGACCTACACAATCAAGGCCACTCGCAATAGCTCCGAAGCCTACACACTCAGTCAGGGAGGCCACGTCAACTTGGAGGTATGCTCTGAGAATCCCATACGCACTGTAACAAAATATTCATGTATACTTACCCGTTTGGCACTTGTTCCCGGTAAATTCTTTCGGGCATGTGCATTTGCCCTTGTCGTCACACTGACCCTGGTTCAAACACTTACATCCTGCAGCATCCATCGCATACGCACAAAGTGACACAGAGAAAATGTGAATGCATGGGACGTTAGGGGTCGGCCGTAAGAACTGATATTTATCACACACACGCACGCACGCACACACGCGCACGCCCACGCCCACGCACACACACACACACACACACACACACACACACACACACATACACACATATGTACGAAATACAGCGCTCCTGACCCTGACTGGCGCTGGCACTACTACGTTACACTTATCATGATCTTACTTACTGACACAGAGGATTTGGGCTCTGTCATTGCTTCTGGTGCGGTGAAAATCTTGATTGTTCTCGCTAAATGTTACGGTTCTGTAAAGGGAATCACCATCGACCCGGATTGCCTTGACGTGGTAAGCGGCTTGGTCATGTTCATGCTTCAGAGCCAACCTCTCGAGCCCGCGCTCTCTTAATACATGGCCATGTGCTCGCAGCCAGTCTTCGGTTATGAGGTGAAGTCCGTACTGCTGACATGCCTCCTCTGCGAACGGCTCGGTGACAATACGTCTGGATGCTGGGGTTGCTGCGGTATATGCTGAGTTGTTGGCGTGAAGCCACTTGGCTGCAAGACAAGGGCACATCCAGGGGTGGGTAGAAAATACAAATACGCAATATGAATAAAGGGTGCACTGGAATCTATCTCAATGCAACCGGATAAATCAGTGTAATTGTTTTTCCTTATTCCGAGCCAGGTTAAGGTATCGGTCAATATTTGCAGGCATGGGGCTGGGAAGACTTCATGGAGCAGCACCGTGCCATAGTTGCAAATCACCCAGCAAGTATGCCAGGAGTACATAACCCCCAGAGTGTGCAACTACCACATACCCTGCTGTCCCAACAGACTTTCAAGTTGCTCCTTGCACCAGTGATGTACAACATGTGTACGGGTGTCAATGCATCACACCGTTTTCCTTGCAAAACAATTGTACAGGATCAGATAGGCTTTGGTTCATCGTCACCTTGAAACTCTTTGGGGATTGTGTACTCTTGGTTATACCAAAGGAGTGGAAAAATATTGGCAAGAGTACAAAGAAAAACATGTGATGCGTTGACACTCGTACACATGTTGTTAATCACTGGTGCAAGAAGCAGTGCATCATATTAATCATGTCACCTTGAAATTCTATCGGGACAGCAGGGTATGAGGGAGTTGCACACTCTGCGGGTTATGTACTCTTGATGTCGGGTTATTACACAAGTGTGTTCACCTCATGACCTTGCTCGTTCCTCATTTCTTTGGTCAAATTGGGCTATGCGAAGGCTACCCAATTACGTTATGCGGAACCTCTCTAATAACAATACTCGAATATTCGAACATGATTCGTTCGGTTTGTCGCATTCGAATATTCTCGAAGTCGCATTCAAGTACTTGTGGCGTCACTTTGAATGCAGTGCATGTACATACATGCACGCCAAACACAGCACAGTACAGTGTGTACAGCCTGCCTGTGATTTTGTACTGCATGTTTGCACATGTATGTGCATACTGGACTGCCAATGTTGCACATAAGATTTCGAAGTAGCCTTATGTGGCAGTGCATTTTTATGTGGCACTAACGTTTGTCATACCTAATAACAAGAGTACATAACCCCCAGTGTGTGCAACTCCCACATACCCTGCTGTCCTGGCAAAATTTCAAGTTGGCGTCATTATTTATGACGCAATGCTCCTTGTACCAGTGATTTACAACATGTGCACGGGTGTCAACGCATCACACGTTTTTCTTTGCAATGATTTGCACAGGATCAGATCGGCTTGGGTCAACCACAGGTTCCGGATTCGTCTGATAATCCGTGTACAGTGTGCATTGCATCATCAAAATGATGTCAACTTGAAATTCTGTCTGGACAGCACCCATAGTCGAGTTGCACACTCTGGGGGGGGGGTTATGTACTCTTGCTAATAATAATCACATGAAATGTTTCTCTGCACATGTGGTCAGTTGGCTACTCATGTGTGGATCTGACCCTGGCTAGAACCGTAGGTTTCCCATTGACGTGAGAAACCTTGGTTGTAATCGCTCTTGCTCTCTGTTTCAGTCCTCTAATATTGTCAATATCATTGTCTACTCTAACCACCCATTGCTGGCTACTCAGCACCTCTCTCACATGTTCTTTTTCTATCACAATGCAACAGCATACCTTCGCAGATGACATCATGATGGCCTGCTCCGGTTCTATCATGTAACTCTTCTCTTAAGCCGTTCTTGCCCTGCTTGTACAAGAGATGTGTCTTGGTAGCATCCCTCAACTCTCTCAAGAAAGATGTCCATATTGAGATAGGGCTCTTGAAACTGCTCTCCATCATTTCGTTGAGCAATGCTTCCATGCAGTCGCGCACATTCAGAGCCGAGGAAATGAAGGCATGAAATTCGACCACGTCGTATCCTCTTCTCTTGCACATCTGGCGGGCATGCGTCAAGTTCGTTTTCTTCTGGCAGCTGTCACCGTCCAGGTGTGAATGACACGGCAAGCTGGCGAGAGCCATCCAGGTGTAGGTTGCGTTATCTGTACCCAGGCACTTTGTCTTAAAAGCTGAACATAACACAGTACACATGCAAAGTACATTCTTGTACAGTAGAAGTAGTAGTAGTAGTAGAAGTAGTAGAAGTAGCAGTAGTAGCAGTAGCAGTAGTAGCAGTAGCAGCAGTAGCAGCGGTAGTAGTAGCAGCAGCAGCAGCAGCAGCCGCAGCAGTAGCCGCAGCAGCAGCAGCAGCAGCCGCAGCAGCAGCAGCAGCAGCAGCAGCAGCAGCAGCAGTAGTAGTAGAAATAGTAGTAGTAGTAGTTTTTATTATTTTACTTGGGTATACCCAACAGGCCTATGGCCTTCTTACAGGGTACCTAAGGAGAAATTGTGAGCAGCTAGCGCGAAAGCAGGCAAAGTACGCTGGGATGGAATGATAGCGGGTAGTGCATTAAAGCGGTAAAAACTAAGAAAACTAATGGGAGACTGTAAAGGCCTGGCCGGGACATGAATGGGGGAAGAAATATACTACTGAATGTTTGGCCTCTGGTTTGGGAGGTAGTGTGGGTGGCATCATTTCGGGTCGTGAAGATTTGGGAGATGAGGGGACTGCCAAGGGACCTGATTCACCGAAAAGTAAAAGTGAAAAGCTTAAGAGTGAGGCGTAGGCTGAGTGGGTGGAGGTACAGTAGAGCATGACTGGAGTACACACTCTATTAAGACATATACTGCCCCCCCCCCTATTGATACCGTAGTCCATTTCAAGTATATCCGTGTTTATCTGAGTAAAATGCACATCCCCTGAGCATAATTTTCACATTTCGCAGCTGCATGTGTTTCAAAGAAACATGCATAATTATACACTTCATTCAGAAGTTACTTACTCTGCTGACACAGGTCTCCATGGAAACCTTTCTGGCAGACGCAGGTACCGTCTTCAGCGCACTTCCCATGATTCAAGCAATGGCATACTGCAGTAGAGATTGGGTGCATTCACGTATTTCCCAAAACAGAGATAGGAACAGACCACCATACAATATCAGACCCTAAAGAAGTTAGTATCACCAACTCAAACCCATAATAAATAATATGGTATCTATTATTGCACGTAAATAGCACAAAATAGGTTGGAGGTTTGAGTTTGCACCGCCGAGATAAGAGAGAAAAATTTTCCTTACAATGATGAGTATGATTCTAGAAATTGTAAATATACCCATGGGTCATACACTCGTTGGCACGCGGCCTAAAATGACAGCAGCTTTCTTTTCCCCTTATAATTCAAGACTATTACAGCTGTTTTTTTAGCCCTTACCTTCTGTGCAATTAGGTCCATCTAGTCTGGGTTTACATTCACATTCTTTGTTCTTTTTCACCCAGGGATTCGTGCACACAACTGCATCGCATATCACACACCGAGGGGAAAGAAAAAAGGAGAGCAAATCAGCCAGACACAAAATGGACAGACAAAAGACTGAGAGACAAATAGATGTTTTACTCAGTAGGCAGCCATTGTCCTATAAACAGTCAGAAGTCCAGTAGGGAGTCGAACTCATCATACCGTCATATTTGCACGACTTCGTTAAACGCGGGCGACTTTCTCTGTAGAAAGTCTACACATTTCCACAGTTCGACACGTTTCCAGTGCGCAGTCTGAGTTTTCGTCAACTTGGATCATGTGCCCACTTCATCCATCAGCCATGGACTGGGTGCAGAATAGCCTGAACTTCGCACAAGCACTCATTGCAAGACAGAGCAGCTATAACGACAGTCGGAGTCTTGGAGTCTGCGTTTGAGCCGCTCACACGCGGAGCTGAAGCCAGTGGAAAGGACACCATCGCCAGCTAGTCGACATTCTGGCATAACTTGACGTAGCGTGGAGGCCAGCCATCCCTTCGGTGCAAATACAAAGCTGCACGTATAGCACTGGTGTACAGCAACGGAGACGGTTTAAACTCATTGGTCTTTACTTCATTGGTTTGAGGGAAAGATGTAAATGGGAACAGTCTGGAGAAAACATTGACCATCACCACCAGGACTCGAGCCAGTGACCGCTTTGGTCTTTTCTTCTGCTTCAAGGCAATCTAAAGTCTGTAGTCTTGGCTGCTGCAATATTAGATTGCGTTTGGTTGGGCATTTCCAGATTGTAAATGACAACCATTCTGGAATGGGAATGGGTAAGAATCACCTGACTAAACAAACGCGCCAGAATCAACTAGGAATCACTTGACATAACAATTCCATAATGTCGTTGTGGAACGGCGGCTCTCTTCACTTTTCCTTGGCAGAGTCAAGGTACTCCCGAGTGCATGATTTGAGACACTTGAACCTGATGCTGCTAGTATTCCTAGCAAGAACTTGAGCAAAATGGGGTTCTGCTTTCTTCACACATAGTTGAAACACAGACAAAGGCTGCATACTCAGGGTCACTCGACACAGCTCCGAAAAATCGCGGCGCAAAAGTGCTTTTTGTCGGGGAATTTTCTGGAAACAATTGTTGATGTTAGGTCTTTATAAGGCACAGTAATGGTGCAAAATTCAAGACTATGTCCAGAGCATTGCATACTGTAAAAGCAGAAATTTTCGGTGGTGTTTTATTTTCGGTAACTTCGGTGTCGACAATTTCTACCGAAAATAAAACGCACCGAAAATTTCGGTACAACCGGTACTGTATACATTTAGTACTAGTACATCTACCTGGAAAACGGGTTTTACCGAAAATTTCTCTCTACCGAACCGCCGATTTTGGTGAATACCGAAAATATTACACCACCGAAAATTTCTGCTTTTACAGTATGTGCCATTTTATCAATTGTCAAAATGGCCTCCTATGCTCCTGTTGGAGCTCTAGAGACACTGTCCAAAGTGAATCGTGGCGAAGACCTAATGTTTTCATTACGACATTAGCCTGCCAAGGCAGTGGAATGCAAAAATCCATAGTACGTTTCCATGGTTACCATGGGCTATTTCCATGGAATTTCATAGTATACCTTCTGCGATCACGTCTAAAATCTGTGGACTCCTTCATTAATCCCATAGCAACAGTTTAGGGTCAGGTTTTAGGTCAGCTTCATAACTGTGCAGCATGTCTCTGTATGATGGCCCTACCGGTAGGTCCTACGGGTAGGACCGAGGTCTATGCAAGCTATCAATTATGTTACACAAATTTTGGCTCAGCTTATCTTTTCAATTGTTTTATTAAACAATTATTCGTTGGTTTTTGAAACGGAAACGGCTCACGCAGTCACTGGATGCCACGTCAACATGGAGGTATGCTTCGGGAAGAGCTGTAAGCATTCATACTTACCCAATTGGCACTTGTTCCCGGTAAATTCTTTCGGGCAGATGCATTTACCCTTGTCGTCACAATGACCTTGATTCAAACAGTTGCATGCTGCATCAGCCATCGCATACGCACAAACAAGACGTGAGACAGAGGAAATGATGGTATGTTATAGGCTACTCATACTACGTTACAATACGCGTGACGTTTTGGAGCACGACGTTCTGGCATACGTCGTTTTCATGCAGGTGCATTCACACAGGCACTAACATGCTGCTCAAACAGCTGCGTGTTCAGCTTCTTTTGGACACAAACTGCTGGGAACGACAGAACAAAACTCGGTACAGGAGTCTGGATACGTCGTCTACGATTTCGTACCAGAGGTACGATTTTCCCGCCACGTTCCATGTTGTCATGACTATCCGGACGAAAACGTCACGTACGCCACGTTCTGGGCGTAGTGTGAATGGCCCATTAGGGGCCGGCCGTAAGTATCGATATTTACAACTCAAACCCACCCTATACCCCTCCTCTCAGAACGTGCATATACAGCACCCTGTCACGCGTGTGTCAATGCTCCTACTTCTCTGGACATGTTTCAATGTATCCTGAAAGGAAATTGGTCAACCCGTCCCAGCTCATAACAGAAATAATTTGTATTCAAAAGATTAACCCTTGATATCTACGAATGAATATAGTGAAATTTGACCACACAAAATGACCGAGCAGCTGACACAGAGAAAATGCAAGCAAGCGGTCACGTGTTCATGCGTACTCGTACACGAGTCATATGGTCACCATGCATGCAGGGCCAGTGCATGCTACAGCTTTCACACCAAGGTTCAAATTAAAGGTTCAAAGGTGCAACTCGAGTGACAGGAACGCTGTCAACGGCGTAGCCTGCAGGCATGGCAAACAGGTGACTGGTGTACGCAAGAGCACGTGACCGCTTACTTACCCTTGATGGATTGATGGATTGGGAATAGACACCCTTATCAAATAACGGTATTTTTACGATACTCGCACCTTCATCACCCAAATAGCGCTGAAGCTGCAACCTTAAAACGTTATGGAGGCTGATTTGTCGCTGTGACAAACGGTATGCTTTTTGGCCAAATGTTGCATAGTCTGTACCCATTTCACCTTGTATCACGTATATGATGACATAAATGGTTGTACCACGCGCGCGCGCGCGCGAAACGAGAGAGCTTGGAAGCTCAGGGCCCTACGCTATGCTTTTTTGCCTTGATGACCTAGACAAAAAAAAGCATAGGGATGTTCGTGAGAACTTTGAATGTTCGTACGCTGTGGCCTAATGTTTTAAAAAAAAATCCATTTTTTAAGACATAACCTGGGATTCGAACCCGCACTATCGCGTGCCCTGCATGCATCCCCCGATACACTTCGCATACATACTAATTCTTCCAAGTTGTTTCACATTGTGATCTTGCATTTGAAAGACCTATTTGAATATGCATTGTGGCCAGCCGTCTTTGATGGCACGCTACGGTAGGGGATAGGTACGGGACAGGTAAGATCGAGGGTAATACGACGTCTCCCGTACCGTACCATCAAACACAGCTGGCCACATACAGCTGCCCGCACGCGCAATATTCAAATAGGGCTTTCAAACGCAAGATAATAACGTGAAGCAACTTGGAAGAATGGGTATGAATGCGAAGTGTATGGGGGATTGCATGTAGGGGGATAGTGCGGGTTCGAATCCCAGGATATGCCTAAAAAAAAATAGGAGAATTGAAAAAATTATAACATCATAATTATGCTTTTTTGCCGTCAGATACGGATAGCGCCAGGCGTGACACAAACAAACAAACAAACAAACACACACACAAATACCAAATTAAAGCTGTGTGGACCCTGGCTAGCGCCAGACGTTACTGAAGTAACGTCTTCTGCATAGCTACGGGAATAAAAGCTATTGTCGTGGCAACAGCATACTAAAAATAGCGTGCATCTTGCTAAAGGTCTAACCCAGATCCCGGTATTTTCCCGCTTGCGGTAATACCATTACAACATAACGTTTTTTGCTAAGGGCCTGGTCAGAAACGAAAAAATCCTGTGATTATGATCCGAATCTCCATAGTAACTTGCCGCCAGAGCGGCAATACCATGCTTTGCTGCTCCAAACAGGAGTTTGACGCTGATACGCCATTGACGCTGATATTCACTGATTTTTTCATCTCGATATCGAGGAGCTAATTTGGCCACGGACAACAACAAAACTCATATGCATGGTTGCAAGGTGTTGGCGATCCCCAAGGTAAAGGAATTTGACGTCGATCGCAATTCCAAATTCTGGACGCTTTTCTTTTTTCGTCAGGCAACCAGTCTGACCAGGCCCTACGGGTATCTGTCTAATAAGGGCCGAACGCTGCACCGCAGCCTTTTCGGACCAAAACCAGTCTACTCAGCGCCCAAAAGACTACAACATATGGGCCAATTGCGGTCATCCGCGCTTTTAGAATCCCCATCTAGTAGGGCGCACTCACCCAGTTTTGTTGGAAGTGCGCGAATTCGATTGGGAATAAAGGAGGAAGGGAGCGTCTCAGCTTCCTCGGACCAAGACCATTCGACCCAGAGCACCCCGAAGACTACAACTGGTGAAAATGTGATTCAGGATTCAGCGTATACTTCCCTTTAAAAACGGTCATTACAGGGTGGGGGGGGGGGAGGCTATTATTCCAGAGAAGACTTCTGATCGTGTGAGCGTAGTAGCATTCAAGTTGTGAGAATTCTCAATGAAATACACGGAGTTGTATGTGAAACTGCTGGCTACACACACGTCAGGCATTACACACTCCATCTAGCTATAAATAGTGGTCACATTACACTGACGGTATCCCAACTCTTTAATTACCAGATTTTGTATGCTTCGATCTATTTCCTTAGCCTATCCTCGATTAACTGCTCCCTCTACATAAAGTTTTCATTTCATTCTTCTTGCAGGAGATCCCCTCGACAAGCCCAAAGCCTTTGGGAAATCCAAATATAATAAAATTCAAATACATCTGGCAGATCTCCGCTGTTTTCCCGCTATCATGTTAGTGTTCTTCACCTTCTCTAAAATGGGTGTACTCAGATTATCAAACACGCGCACGCTTGCACACACACACACACATACACACACACACGAATTTTAAGGCCTGCTGTCTTACCCTTTTCACATCGTTCGCCGTAGGATGTGGTGCGGTTACACACACAACTCATGTTTGCTGCAACACCATTGTTCTCACAGAATTCTGTGCAGAAAAAGAATACGAGCAGCTCAATTGCGTTACTCTTCTACAGTTTATGAAAGTAGAATGCCAATTATCTAAATGATTGCTTATCCAAAAACGTGCTGTTCAAGACATTTGTGTTATGTTCCCTGACGGAAAAGCATTCTCTCTCGTTGAATCCTTATACATGCTCCCTAAAACGATCAGTCAAAGGAGGTTTCTTGGTTAGGTATTCCCACCAACAACAACAATCAAAATTTGAGCATGCACAATGCATGGTATGATATGGGGGGCAGGGGAGAGGGCAAGGACTTTTGCTACAAGGACATGTTTGAAAAGGACATGTTGAAGCAAGACACAGGGATAAGGGACAGGGAATGGCTATACTGCTTGCGCATAGCCAGTCATTTATTATCGCCTCACTTACTGACACAGAGGATCCGGGCTTGCTCATCGCTTGGGGCGTTGTGAATCGTATGACTTCCGCTGCTAAACGTTACGGTTCTGTAATGGTGTTCGCCATCCGCCGAGATTGGTTCGACGTGGAAGGGCTTGGTGCCGTGATGAGGGTTATGCTCTATAGGCAATCGTTGTAGCCAGCGCTCTCTGAATACATGGCCATGTGCTTGCAGCCAGTCCACGGTTATAAAGTTTAGTCCGTACTGCTGACAAGCTTCACGCGCAAAAGGCTGGGTAACGGCACGTCTCGATGCCGGTGTTGCTGCGACGTATGCCGAGGAGAAAGCATGAATCCATTTAGCTGCAGGACAACAGACAGGTATAGAGGCATTTGGAGAAACATTAAAAAAGCACAGCAGGAAGCAAGCCTGAAGAATGGGCTTCCTGGAAATTGCTGGCACGTTCCATGAATTTCGACATAATGGATAGGTCAGGCCCCCGAAACAGTGCATACCGTATTAATTAGAAAAGCAATCCTGTCAGCTTTTCTATTATTGTGGTCACAATGCAAGACCAAACGGCACCGATATTTGACACGTTGTCTACGTAAGTTTTTACGTAAGGTGCTTGGTACGTACCTGGACCAGGGAGCACTACTCCATGGCTTGTACCATCGCGTGGCCGGTGGCGTGCGTGTGCATGGCAGACATTTTTTTTGTAATCCGTTTTCTCAGTTGTACGCACTACGCCATTTCCCGCCTCAGATCTCCGCCGTGACAGACACCCATAGTAGAAAAGGCCCCAAGCTGCACACTCTGGGGGGTTATGTACTCTAGATATCATTCATACCCACCAAAAGATGTGTAACATTTTATTATTATGGTGTGCCTTGTTTATCTATCAGTACCTCCAACCATAGCCTTGCCCCTATATCCTCAGGAGCATCAGTGTAGTTCTTGGAATAAGGTGTTCGAATCAACAATTTATTCGTTTACATTTCTATAATACATATCTATTATTCCTCCTTTGTCTCAAAATAGACAGAAGCGGAAGGGTTAGCATTTGCTGCCTTGTACGCGAACTGTTCTATTATTATTTCTCCTTTATTCACTTCTTTCGAAGGCGATAAGCCAGACCCACCGGGAAATATTTCCATGGGTGGGACAGCAAAAAAGAAAGTGAAAAAACAAAAGCAAAAATAAATAAATAAATAAAACCTAAAAACCAAAGGGACAAGAACTAGTTGAAGGAAGAGGAAGAAAGGAAAGAAACTCAATCCGAACTCCAACATCAAAACAATAATAAAGAATTTGCAGCGACAGGCAAAATACATCAACCAATGAAGGGAGTAGTAACAAAGGAAATATCAGTCTTTATCAGTCGTTATTCAAGTCTCTTAGCTATTGAACATGCAAACGCAGCAGAGGTGCATCTACATGTTAAGGATAGTTCTCAGTATTTTAATCGAACCTTGTATAGCCTCCTGTTGCACAATAGCCAGGTCTCCTCCCTGCACAGTCCGAAGGCATTGAGGAGTCTCCCCCACCAAGCCTCCCAGGGCACCGACAACCACAGGGACCACGTCAACCTGGTTGAGGGACCAAATCCTCGAAATCTCCCGCTTCAAATCATAATATTTCGAGCGCTTTTCAGCCATTTTCTTATTGATGTTGTTCTCACCAGGAACGCTGATGTCTATAATGTAGGCGATGCGCTCCTTGTCATCAACAAGGAGCAGATCGGGCCTGTTTGCTGATAGTTTCAGGTCAGTTGGGACCGAATACTCCCAATAGAGGCGATACTGATCACTCTTGACCAATGCCTTGAGCTGGTGGTCGAATCGTGAAGCACCAGTAGGTAGATCTCGTGCTTTACACATTTCGAAGTGCACATACTTTATTATTATTATTATTATTATTATTTGAACTGGTTTTGAGGGAAAGAGACATTTATTATTATTTGTATTATTATTGGCAGTAGCAGTTGGCAGTAGCGGCAAGGAATGTCAGGTCGGTTTCATTGTCACGTAATTCCAAAGTATGTACTGGTTCTAGTAGCGGTGTTAGGGTGTATGAATCTTCTGTTGCCAACCATCTTGTTCAGAATAGTGATTGTCGTTCTAGTTATGCTGATGAGTGCTTTTCTGTTTGGTCTCGTTCACGTAGTCAAAGGTATTTGCGTGTATTGGAGTCTATCTACATTTTTACCACTAAGCCGATTTTGTGTAGGCAGAAAAAGAATTTGTTTACGTTGAAATTGTTTGTGAATTTAGATCAGTAGTTCTCGTTTGTGGTAGCATGGTAACTTTCTAGTGGTGAATTTATCGCATCTGTTGTCACCTGATATCGTTGAATGGTGTAATGTTTCTTTCAGCTCTCATTTTATCGCGCTAGTTAGGGTTATGTTGTTGTCACTTTTATTATTTTCCTTAGAGTTTTGTGTCGTGCTAAACTTGATAATTTTCCACCTTGTCACGAGAGTTGTTATCTAATTATCTTTACGCTATATAAGTTTTAGTCTTTCCAACTTGAGCCATTCCCTGTATAATCCTTGATGAGAAGGGACCGAAAACGTTCGGATACTTATGACAAGTGCATTATTATTATTATTATTATTATTGCACATAAGATTTCGAAGTAGCCTTATGTGGCAGTGCATTTTTATGTGGCACTAACGTTTGTCATACCTAATAACAAGAGTACATAACCCCCAGTGTGTGCAACTCCCACATACCCTGCTGTCCTGGCAAAATTTCAAGTTGGCGTCATTATTTATGACGCAATGCTCCTTGCACCAGTGATTTACAACATGTGCACGGGTGTCAACGCATCACACGTTTTTCTTTGCAATGATTTGCACAGGATCAGATCGGCTTGGGTCAACCACAGGTTCCGGATTCGTCTGATAATCCGTGTACAGTGTGCATTGCATCATCAAAATGATGTCAACTTGAAATTCTGTCTGGACAGCACCCATAGTCGAGTTGCACACTCTGGGGGGGTTATGTTTCTCTGCACATGTGGTCAGTTGGCTACTCATGTGTGGATCTGACCCTGGCTAGAACCGTAGGTTTCCCATTGACGTGAGAAACCTTGGTTGTAATCGCTCTTGCTCTCTGTTTCAGTCCTCTAATATTGTCAATATCATTGTCTACTCTAACCACCCATTGCTGGCTACTCAGCACCTCTCTCACATGTTCTTTTTCTATCACAATGCAACAGCATACCTTCGCAGATGACATCATGATGGCCTGCTCCGGTTCTATCATGTACCTCTTCTCTTAAGCCGTTCTTGCCCTGCTTGTACAAGAGATGTGTCTTGGTAGCATCCCTCAACTCTCTCAAGAAAGATGTCCATATTGTGATAGGGCTCTTGAAACTGCTCTCCATCATCTCGTTGAGCAATGCTTCCATGCAGTCGCGCACATTCAGAGCCCAGGAAATGAAGGCATGAAATTCGACCACGTCGTATCCTCTTCTCTTGCACATCTGGCGGGCATGCGTCAAGTTCGTTTTCTTCTGGCAGCTGTCACCGTCCAGGTGTGGATGACACGGCAAGCTGGCGAGAGCCATCCAGGTGTAGGTTGCGTTATCTGTACCCAGGCACTTTGTCTTAAAAGCTGAACATAACACAGTACACATGCAAAGTACATTCTTGTACAGTAGAAGTAGTAGTAGTAGTAGAAGTAGTAGAAGTAGCAGTAGTAGCAGTAGCAGCAGTAGTAGTAGCAGCAGCAGCAGCAGCCGCAGCAGTAGCCGCAGCAGCAGCAGCAGCAGCCGCAGCAGCAGCAGCAGCAGCAGCAGCAGCAGCAGCAGCAGCAGCAGCAGCAGCAGCAGTAGTAGTAGAAATAGTAGTAGTAGTAGTTTTTATTATTTTACTTGGGTATACCCAACAGGCCTATGGCCTTCTTACAGGGTACCTAAGGAGAAATTGTGAGCAGCTAGCGCGAAAGCAGGCAAAGTACGCTGGGATGGAATGATAGCGGGTAGTGCATTAAAGCGGTAAAAACTAAGAAAACTAATGGGAGACTGTAAAGGCCTGGCCGGGACATGAATGGGGGAAGAAATATACTACTGAATGTTTGGCCTCTGGTTTGGGAGGTAGTGTGGGTAGCATCATTTCGGGTCGTGAAGATTTGGGAGATGAGGGGACTGCCAAGGGACCTGATTCACCGAAAAGTAAAAGTGAAAAGCTTAAGAGTGAGGCGTAGGCTGAGTGGGTGGAGGTACAGTAGAGCATGACTGGAGTACACACCCTATTAAGACATATACTGCCCCCCCCCCTATTGATACCGTAGTCCATTTCAAGTATATCCGTGTTTATCTGAGTAAAATGCACATCCCCTGAGCATAATTTTCACATTTCGCAGCTGCATGTGTTTCAAAGAAACATGCATAATTATACACTTCATTCAGAAGTTACTTACTCTGCTGACACAGGTCTCCATGGAAACCTTTCTGGCAGACGCAGGTACCGTCTTCAGCGCACTTCCCATGATTCAAGCAATGGCATACTGCAGTAGAGATTGGGTGCATTCACGTATTTCCCAAAACAGAGATAGGAACAGACCACCATACAATATCAGACCCTAAAGAAGTTAGTATCACCAACTCAAACCCATAATAAATAATATGGTATCTATTATTGCACGTAAATAGCACAAAATAGGTTGGAGGTTTGAGTTTGCACCGCCGAGATAAGAGAGAAAAATTTTCCTTACAATGATGAGTATGATTCTAGAAATTGTAAATATACCCATGGGTCATACACTCGTTGGCACGCGGCCTAAAATGACAGCAGCTTTCTTTTCCCCTTATAATTCAAGACTATTACAGCTGTTTTTTTAGCCCTTACCTTCTGTGCAATTAGGTCCATCTAGTCTGGGTTTACATTCACATTCTTTGTTCTTTTTCACCCAGGGATTCGTGCACACAACTGCATCGCATATCACACACCGAGGGGAAAGAAAAAAGGAGAGCAAATCAGCCAGACACAAAATGGACAGACAAAAGACTGAGAGACAAATAGATGTTTTACTCAGTAGGCAGCCATTGTCCTATAAACAGTCAGAAGTCCAGTAGGGAGTCGAACTCATCATACCGTCATATTTGCACGACTTCGTTAAACGCGGGCGACTTTCTCTGTAGAAAGTCTACACATTTCCACAGTTCGACACATTTCCAGTGCGCAGTCTGAGTTTTCGTCAACTTGGATCATGTGCCCACTTCATCCATCAGCCATGGACTGGGTGCAGAATAGCCTGAACTTCGCACAAGCACTCATTGCAAGACAGAGCAGCTATAACGACAGTCGTAGTCTTGGAGTCTGCGTTTGAGCCGCTCACACGCGGAGCTGAAGCCAGTGGAAAGGACACCATCGCCAGCTAGTCGACATTCTGGCATAACTTGACGTAGCGTGGAGGCCAGCCATCCCTTCGGTGCAAATACAAAGCTGCACGTATAGCACTGGTGTACAGCAACGGAGACGGTTTAAACTCATTGGTCTTTACTTCATTGGTTTGAGGGAAAGATGTAAATGGGAACAGTCTGGAGAAAACATTGACCATCACCACCAGGACTCGAGCCAGTGACCGCTTTGGTCTTTTCTTCTGCTTCAAGGCAATCTAAAGTCTGTAGTCTTGGCTGCTGCAATATTAGATTGCGTTTGGTTGGGCATTTCCAGATTGTAAATGACAACCATTCTGGAATGGGAATGGGTAAGAATCACCTGACTAAACAAACGCGCCAGAATCAACTAGGAATCACTTGACATAACAATTCCATAATGTCGTTGTGGAACGGCGGCTCTCTTCACTTTTCCTTGGCAGAGTCAAGGTACTCCCGAGTGCATGATTTGAGGCACTTGAACCTGATGCTGCTAGTATTCCTAGCAAGAACTTGAGCAAAATGGGGTTCTGCTTTCTTCACACATAGTTGAAACACAGACAAAGGCTGCATACTCAGGGTCACTCGACACAGCTCCGAAAAATCGCGGCGCAAAAGTGCTTTTTGTCGGGGAATTTTCTGGAAACAATTGTTGATGTTAGGTCTTTATAAGGCACAGTAATGGTGCAAAATTCAAGACTATGTCCAGAGCATTGCACACTGTAAAAGCAGAAATTTTCGGTGGTGTTTTATTTTCGGTAACTTCGGTGTCGACAATTTCTACCGAAAATAAAACGCACCGAAAATTTCGGTACAACCGGTACTGTATACATTTAGTACTAGTACATCTACCTGGAAAACGGGTTTTACCGAAAATTTCTCTCTACCGAACCGCCGATTTTGGTGAATACCGAAAATATTACACCACCGAAAATTTCTGCTTTTACAGTATGTGCCATTTTATCAATTGTCAAAATGGCCGCCTATGCTCCTGTTGGAGCTCTAGAGACACTGTCCAAAGTGAATCGTGGCGAAGACCTAATGTTTTCATTACGACATTAGCCTGCCAAGGCAGTGGAATGCAAAAATCCATAGTACGTTTCCATGGTTACCATGGGCTATTTCCATGGAATTTCATAGTATACCTTCTGCGATCACGTCTAAAATCTGTGGACTCCTTCATTAGCCCCATAGCAACAGTTTAGGGTCAGGTTTTAGGTCAGTGTCATAACAAAGACTGTGCAGCATGTCTCTGTATGATGGTCCTACCGGTAGGTCCTACGGGTAGGACCGAGGTCTATGCAAGCTATCAATTAAGTTACACAAATGTTGGCTCAGCTTATCTTTTCAATTGTTTTATTAAACAATTATTCGTTGGTTTGTTGAAACGGAAACGGCTCACACAGTCACTGGATGCCACGTCAGCATGGAGGTATGCTTTGGGAAGAGCTGTAAGCATTCATACTTACCCGATTGGCACTTGTTCCCGGTAAATTCTTTCGGGCAGATGCATTTACCCTTGTCGTCACAATGACCTTGATTCAAACAGTTGCATGCTGCATCAGCCATCGCATACGCACAAACAAGACGTGAGACAGAGGAAATGATGGTATGTTATAGGCTATTCATACTACGTTACAATACGCTTGACGTTTTGGAGCACGACATACTGGCATACGTCGTTTTCATGCAGGTGCATTCACACAGGCACTCACACGCTGCTCATAAAGTTGCGTGTTGCGCTTCTTTTCGACACAAACTGCTGGGAACGACAGAACAAAACTCGGTACAGGAGTCTGGATACGTTGTCTACGATTTCGTACTAGAGGTACGATTTTCCCGCCACGTTCCATGTTGTCATGGCTATCCGGACGAAAACGTCACGTACGCCACGTTCTGGGCGTAGTGTGAATGGCCCATTAGGGGCCGGCCGTAAGTATCGATATTTACAACTCAAACCCACCCTATACCCCTCCTCTCAGAACGTGCATATACAGCACCCTGTCACGCGTGTGTCAATACTCCTACTTCTCTGGACATGTTTCAATGTATCCTGAAAGGAAATTGGTCAACCCGTCCCAGCTCATAACAGAAATAATTTGTATTCAAAAGAATAACCCTTCATATCTACGAATGACCCCTTACTCAATGAGCAGTTGAAATAGTGAAATTTGACCACCCATAATGACCGAGCAGCTGAGACAGAGAAAATGCAAGCAAGCGGTCACGTGATCATGCGTACTCGTACACGAGTCACCTGGTCACCATGCATGCAGGGCAAGTGCATGCCACAGCTTTTACACCAAGGTTAAAATCAAAGGTTCAAAGGTGCAACTCGAGTGACAGGAACGCTGTCAACGGCGTAACCTGCAGGCACGGCGACCAGGTAACTGGTGTACGCATGAGCACGTGACCGCTTACTCACCCTTGATGGATTGGGAATTTTTTTGGATTGGGAATAGACACCCTTATCAAATAACGGTAACGCTATTTTACGGTACTCGCACCTTCATCACCCAAATAGCGCTGAAACTGCAGCGTTAAAACGTTATGGAGGCTGATTTATCGCTGTGACAAACGGTATGCTTTTTGGCCAAATGTTGCATAGTCTGTACCCATTTCACCTTGTATCGCGTATATGATGACATAAATGGTTGAACCGCACGAAATAAAAGCTATTCTCGTGGCAACAGCATACTAAAGATAGCATGCATCTTGCTAAAGGTCGAACCCAGATCCCGGTATTTTCCCCCTTGCGGTAATACCATTACAACATAACGTTTTTTGCTAAGGGCCTGGTCAGAAACGAAAAAAATCCTGTGATTATAATCCGAATCTCCATAGTAACTTGCCGCCAGAGCGGCAATACCATGCGTTTCTGCTCCAAACAGGAGTTTGACGCTGATACGCCATTGACGCTGATATTCACTGATTTTTTCATCTCGATATCGAGGAGCTAATTTGGCCACGGACAACAACAAAACTCATATGCATGGTTGCAAGGTGTTGGCGATCCCCAAGGTGAAGGAATTTGACGTTGATTGCAATTCCAAATTCTGGACCCTTTTCTTTTTTCGTCAGGCAACCAGTCTGACCAGAACCTACGGGCCGAACGCTGCACCGCAGCCTTTTCGGACCAAAACCAGTCTACTCAGCGCCCAAAAGACTACAACATATGGGCTAATTGCGGTCATCCGCGCTTTTAGAATCCCCATCTAGTAGGGCGCACTCACCCAGTTTTGTTGGAAGTGCGTGAATTCGATTGGAAATAAAGGAGGAAGGGAGCGTCTCAGCTTCCTCGGACCAAGACCATTCGACCCAGAGCACCCCGAAGACTACAACTGGTGAAAAATTGATTCAGGATTCAGGGTATACTTCCCTTTAACCCTTTAAGAGCCACAGAAAAGTTTCAAAATTCTGCATTTTTTTTAAAACGGTCATTACAGGGTGTGGGACGGGGGGGGGGCTATTATTCCAGAGAAGACTTCTGATCATGTGAGCACAGTAGCATTCAAGTTGTGTGACTCTACTCTACTCTACCAGGTAGCTAAAAACCAACGCAGCCAAAGTTTTCATTTCAACAAGCCCAAAGCCTTTGGGAAATCCTTTTAAATAATAAAATTCAAATACATCTGGCAGATCTCTGCTGTTTTCCCGTTATCTTGTTAGTGTTCTTCACCTTCTCTAAAATGAGTGTACTCAGGTTATCAAACACGCGCACGCTTGCACACACACACACACACACACACACACACACACACACACACACACACACACACACACACACACGAAGTTACCAGGAAACTATTTTTAGATCGACTCGAACCCTCTTAAAGGCTGAGAACCGTTCACAATGCTTGTTTATCGTGATCATTTTGCTGAGAGAGGCGAGCTGAGGCTTTGTCATGTGTTACGGCTGAATGCCTGGCGCTGGCTTGACACACCCCGTCAAAGTGACGACGTACGTACCAGGAACGCTCGCTGTGCTTCCTCTTTACCTACGTCATCATGCATGTTAATTGAATTCTGGACGAACTAGTCACGTTCTTTGTGACCACACACCCGTGCACATACATACACACACACGCGCACGCACGCACACACACACACACACACACACACACACACACACACACACTACTATGATACAGCTACCCTAAACGGGTCACGCCGCCCTCCACCCAAGCATGGGTACTATGAGGGGCAGTGGCAAATAAAGAGAATCAGCTAGCAGCAATGGCAAAACAGATGAAACAATGGAGTAGAACGGCCAACTGCTGTACTGTAACAACAACCTGACAGTGACAACGACTGAAAATGAACAGGAAAGAAAAGAATACTGCAAAATTTTACGTTACAAAAAAACACTGCCCACGAAAGAATCCACCAAGCAAAAGGAGTGTTGGCATCCGAAATCCCACCAGGATTCCACTGGCAGTTCTTCCACGCTGACGATGTTAGCGGCAGAGCAGTGCCTCACAAATGCCACAACGCTTGACCAGTGTGCACTTATGACGACGAAAGATTGAAGTTTCAATTCCCACCAGGGCTTGAAAGTGCTACGTCACAGCATAGCAACAATTTCAAAAATTCAAAAACTGGATGCACTTGGATCCAGTTTTTGTATGGATCCAAGCACATTTCAAGCGGTTTTACTCACAGCAAAGGTGAAATTGACTGGGTTGGCTAATGGGGATGGGGTGACAATTGGTTGCAAAGAAAAAGTCATACCTGCGTAAGACATGCGTGGGTTGCCATGCACCCACACACAGAGGCAATAGCAAAGTCACACCTTAGTGGATCCAAAAAAGAAATCTGATGTCAACTTACAATGTTACTTTCAATGTAACCTTGCAGCGTAAGAAGAAAAAGCTCTCCTTGCAGCTAAAAAAGAGCGGGGGAAAAGCTGAGATGAAGAAGACATTGCCCTCTGAATCCTAAAAAGGTTTTTTTTTAATTTGCACTTTTTTCTCCTCAGCGTTTCATTTTGTGGCAATGTGTGATTTCTGCTGGATTCATCCCCAGACCTATTCAGTTTGCTGAGCCGTTTTTATTGCGCTGAATGGTTGTACTTGTATAGTGCTGAGAAGTTTTTATTAACAGTTTTTATTTTTCTGATTCGTTTTTATGACCAATCTGTGGTCACAAATCAATGGGGGTCTTTATTCAGTGGATAATTATAACTAAGAATAACTATTATTGTGTTGTAGAAGGGTTTCCTTGAAGGGTGGTGGCGTTCCTACGGATACGGAAAACTGGGCTTCCAGCCGCGTCTCGCGCGAACCGTGAATTTGTTTGCCACAACAATGCATGCTAAAAGCATGGCTACCTGCTAACTGTACACTTTCTTATGTAGTGCAAGTGCCTGATAGGGTATCCGTGCTACCCGGATAAAAATACCCGAACTCGTTGCCCGACCAAACACCTACCTGTTGCAGCCCTGCTGAAAAGTCAGTCGTACACACCAGTCGTCCGTCTTATCAGAGAACTGTCAGCAAAGACCAGCAGTGCTCATGGCTGTACGGCCAGCGCCCCATGGCCACTTAACTCTCAGCGGATTTCAACGTACAGTATAACCAAATTCAAAGTAATGTAAATCACTTTCCAACTGCATAACCCACAATCTCACCTTCTCATAAATGTATCTCTTTTTGGCGATGGGGCCATCGTGAGAATAAAGAATACAAATTCAAACCAAAATAAACACACACACACACACATACACACACATACACACATACACACATACACACACACATACGAAATACACATACGAAATACAGCGCTGCTGACCCGGACTAGCGCTACACTACTACGTTACACTTATCATGATCTCACTTACCGACACAGAGGATTTGGGCTCTGTCATTGCTTCTGGTGTGGTGAAACTCTTGATTGTTCTCGCTAAATGTTACGGTTCTGTAAAGGGAATCACCATCGACCCGGATTGCCTTGACGTGGTAAGCGGCTTGGTCACGTTCATGCTTCAGAGCCAACCTCTCGAGCCCGCGCTCTCTTAATACATCGCCATGTGCTCGCAGCCAGTCTTCGGTTACGAGCTGAAGTCCGTACTGTTGACATGCCTCCTCTGCGAATGGCTCAGTGACAATACGTCTGGATGCTGGGGTTGCTGCGGTATATGCTGAGTTGTTGGCGTGAAGCCACTTGGCTGCAAGACAAGGGCACATCCAGTGGTGGGTAGAAAATACATATACGCAATATGAATAAAGGGTGCACTGAAATCTATCTCAATGCAACCCGATAAGTCAGTGCAATTGTTTTTCTTTATTCCGAGCCAGGTTAAGGTATCGGTCAATATTTGCAGGCATGGGGCTGGGAAGACATGGGGCTGGGAAGTCACATGAGCTTGTCTATGTATCCTTTGTATTTCTTTACTTCTTTCAATTGTATTTGTCTCGAAAGTTGCACAACAGTCATGCAGATCATCCGAGAAGGATGGGTTGATATGCTGAATTAATTCGCCACCTTGAAACGACTACAAGAATGGCGAATGGACCTCATCTTTAGCTTCAATTTAGGAAAATTTAGGATGAGTCTTGGTTTGAAATGTTGACAAAGTCTGGCTCCCGGCACCGGCGATCACCGGCGTGAATGGTTCACAGACCACTGTTGGCCAAATTTGTATGGGGCAGATCGCAAGAGCTGGGCAATGTCCAACTTTGCCGGCGGTCCCCCGGAATCTGAATTTTGCAGGTAAATTACTGATGAGAAAGCTGCAGAAAAGCTACTTTGGGATCTGTTTGAACACATTGCTCTTGCCAGTCAAGGCGAGTGAAGGTCTCTCCAAGATTCTTCACTCCTAATCAGTTGGTGGAAAAAGGAAAGTAAAAAAAGCAAAGGATAGTACAATTAACTAGACCACCAGAAAAACAACCGGACAAGACACCTACGTGCGTGGCAGTGACAGGAACCACATCAACCAGAAGAATAACAAGATCGGCAACGGCGGCGATGGCAGCGACTAAAGCACAGACAGAGGCAACGGCTAGGGTCCACTCGACTAGCCATGTGAAATCGGATGTGTCCACCGCACATGCTGATTGTTCTGATGTTAGTTCTGATAAGTATGAGTCGTCCATTGCTAGTCATTTGTTTGAGCATCCTGATTGTCGTGCTGTGTATTCGGATGATTGTTTTTCGATTGTGTCACGTGTACGCAGTGCTAGATTGCTGAATGTTTTGGAAGCTGTATACATCCACACAAGGAAACCCAACCTTTGCAAACAGAAACAAATCAAATTCACACTTAGGCTGTTAGGTAGGTCGTCAAAACCTCGTTAGTTACATGTATGTCCAGTGGTTGTCTCTTGTTGTCGCACTACATGTCGCGCTTATTGAGTTTTCTCGCATTTGCACCTTTGTGTCATTATTGCAATTTTCGCTGTTTACTTTAGCTATCTTCTTTCTTTCTTTCTTTCTTTTTGCGCTGTTTTACCACCTTCTTACTGTATTTAATCCACTGTTCCTGTTCCTTTTCTCTTGCCTGTATTTCACCTGATGAGAAGGCTTGAAAGTATACTTGTGAAGACAAAAACTTTCAAGATGTTTGTAATGAGCCTGAAGTGTGTCCTTTTTATGAGTATTATCGCATTTTTGTCTCAGAGGAAACTGATAGTACAAAAAGTACTCCTTTCTGCATATCCTTTACAAGGAGGATGAAAAACATGCAGAAAATGCCGCAGATTTTTGATGTTACTGCAGAAAGTGCCGCAGAATTACCCTCTTTTCCCCGCGGATTTTATTTGCCGCGGAATTCAGAATTCTTGTCCGAGTTTTTCCAATGGGACAGGATAGTCCATGCGATGGCATTTCACTCTGTACATAAAATGGAATGGGGATAGTTCCTTCACTGGTTACCCATGTTTTGTCGCCGGTACGACCTACAACAGTAAGTCGCCCATTAGAGCGGGGAGCCCGGGTTGTGAGGCACACATGCTGTTGTTTATTTCTCTGCGGTCATGCCTCCTACCCTGTTAATGTCCCTACCCTGTGCTTTCACTGCTTGCCCTGCTGCCCTGAGCTTTCCCCCATGTGGCTAAAAAGGCAACAGCCTACCTTCGCAAATGACGTCATTAAGGGTTGTTCCAGCCCGGTCAAATACCGCTTGCCTATGGTTGTTCTTGTCCTGCTTGTAAATGACATGATCCCCTCTGTGCACGTACGACGTCCATACGGTGATAGTGCTGCCGTAAGTGCTCGCCATCATCTTTCGGAGCAATGCTTCCATGCAGCCGCGCACGCCCTTGGTCGGGTTGATGAAGGCGCTATATTCGATCACGTCGTATCCTCGACGCTGGCATAAACGGCGGGCTTGCGTCAGATTGGCCTTTTCCGTGAGGCTGGGCTCGTTAGCGTGCGGATGAACCGGCAAGCCAGCGAGAGCCATCCAGGAGTACATTGCCTTATCTGTGCCTGGGCAGATGGTCTTGAGAGCTGAACACAACACAGTGCATATTCAGAACACAATCAGGTACTGTGCAACTCACCAGGCACATGCTCCGATAAGACATACACTCGAGCTCAGATACAAAATTTGAGAGAACACTTTAAGGGGCCATCCGGCATTATCAATAATTTTCACGAAACGAAAAAGTATAATTATATGATAGAAAACTGCTATTCAAACTGACCACGATTACCCAACCATCAGTCTCCTGCAGTGTTTCAGGAAATGTTCCATAATATATGGACTATCCAAGGGCTGTACTTAAAATAACTTTGCGTCACCAAAATGAAGAAATGTGGACCCATTAGCCGATGTAGAATGGTTTTGCCAATATGGATGATCGCACAAACATGAAACTCGAATCGCAGCAAATGTAGGCCTTATTCCACCATTATTTGAAGCCAACAGGGAGGCATATCCAGGGTACTATTACTGGAATACTCCACGGCAAATACATAAATGCATACTCCAATGCAGTCCATTCATACACGATAGTCCCGCTGGAAAGTCAAATTTTAGGCCGGATTGAGACTGTCCACAGTTTGAATCTGGGTCCGGGATCTGCTTCTCCATACATTTTGCCATGGCCTACCTGACGCAATTTTGAACACCTTGCCTCGATCTCTTATTCTCTGTCCTTAGACGTTTTGGCAGATGTGGCAAGGGATCAGGCCCCGATCGCACTATGTCAGAAATAGCGCGTCAGCGTCTGAATCGTGAATTTTTTCCATGGCAACTGACGAAAAAGCGGGAAATTCAGACGTAGCAGCGCCTGGGGCAAGCAAATCGGCTGGGTTGCCACTGCCGCTGCAAGCACTTGCATGAAGAACACAGACCCATGAATAATAGCGTGCCGTACTACACTCTATCATTGCAATTTGGCTCGTCAGGCCCCGAAGGCAAAAGCAAAAATGCAGTGTTCACCGGATTCAAACTTATCATAGTGCCACCAAGGCCAGGTCAGGAGTAGAGGTCAGACCTGATCAAGATGTTGGGTACAAGCTGTACATTGTGACAACTTACGAACACAGGGGCTGGAAGCATAATTTTCACATTTCGCAGCTGCATGTGTTTCAAAGAAACATACATAATTATACACTTCATTCAGAAGTTACTTACTCTGCTGACACAGGTCTCCATGGAAACCTTTTCTGGCAGACGCAGGTACCGTCTTCAGCGCACTTCCCATGATTCAAGCAATGGCATACTGCAGTAGAGATTGGGTGCATTCACGTATTTCCCAAAACACACAGATAGGAACAGACCACCATACAATATCAGACCCTACAGAAGTTAGTATCACCAACTCATACCCATATAATCAATTATATGGTATCTATTATTGCACGTAAATAGCACAAAAAAGGTTGGAGGTTAGAGTTTGCTCCACCGAGATAAGAGAGAAATATTTTCCTTACAATGATGAGTATGATTCTAGAAATTGTAAATATACCCATGGGTCATACACTTGTTGACACGCGGCCTAAAATGACAGCATCTTTCTTTTCCCCTTATATTATATTACAGCTGTTTATTTAGCCCTTACCTTCTGTGCACTTAGGTCCATCTAGTCTGGGTTTACATTCACATTCTTTGTTCTTTTTCACCCAGGGATTCGTGCACACAACTGCATCGCATATCACACACCGAGGGGAAAGAAAACAGGAGAGTAAATCAGCCAGACACAAAAATGGACAGACAAAAAGACTGAGAGACAAATAGATGTTTTACTCAATAGGCAGCCATTGTCCTATAAACAGTCAGAAGTCCAGTAGGGAGTCGAACTCATCATACCGTCATATTTGCACGACTCCGTTAAACGCGGGCGACTTTCTCTGTAGAAAGTCTACACATTTCCACAGTTCGACACATTTCCAGTGCGCAGTCTGAGTTTTCGTCAGTTGGGATCATGTGCCCACATCATCCAGTCATAGACTGGGTGTAGAATAGCTTGAACTGCGCACCAGCACTCAACGCAAGACAGAGCAGCTATAACGACAGTCGGAGTCTTGGAGTCTGCGTTTGAGCCGCTCACACAGGGAGCTGAAGCCAGTGGAAAGGACACCATCGCCAGCTAGTCGACATTCTAGCAGAACTTGACGTAGCTTGGAGGCCAGCCATCCCTTCGGTGCAAATACTGCACGTATAGCACTGGTGTACAGCAACGGAGACCGTTTAAACTCATTGGTCTTCACTTCATTGGTTTGAGGGAAAGATGTAAATGGGAACAGTCTGGAGAAAACATTGACCATCACCACCAGGACTCGAGCCAGTGACCGCTTTGGTCTTTTCTTCTGCTTCAAGGCAATCTAAAGTCTGTAGTCTTGGCTGCTGCAATATTAGATTGCGTTTCGTTGGGCATTTCCAGAATGTAAATGACAACCATTCTGGAATGGGAATGGGTAAGAATAACCTGACCAAACAAACGCGCCAGAATCAACTAGGAATCACTTGACATAACAATTCCATAATGTCGTTGTGGAACGGCGGCTCTCTTCACTTTTCCTTGGCAGAGTCAAGGTACTCCTGAGTGCATGATTTGAGGCACTTGAACCTGATGCTGCATGTATACCTAGCACTTGAGCAAAATGGGGTTCTGCTTTCTTCACACATAGTTGAAACACAGGCTGCATACTCAGGGTCAGTCGACACAGCTCCGAAAAATCGCGGCGCAAAAGTGCTTTTTGCCGGGGAATTTTCTAGATACAATTGTTGATGTTGGGTCTTTATAAGGCACAGTAATGGCGCAAAAGACTTTGTCCAGAGCATTGCATATGTGCCATTTTATCAATTGTCAAAATGGCCGCCTATGCTCCTGTCGAAGCTCTAGAGACACTGTCCAAAGTGAATCGTGGCGAAGACCTAATGTTTTCATTACGACATTAGCCTGCCAAGGCAGTGGAATGAAAAATTCCATAGTACGTTTCCATGGTTACCATGGGCTATTTCCATGGAATTTCATAGTATACCTTCTGCGATCACGTCTAAAATCTGTGGACTCATTCATTAGCCCCATAGCAACAGTTAAGGGTCAGGTTTTAGGTCAGTGTCATAACAAAGACTGTGCAGCATGTTTCTGTATGATGGTCCTACCGGTAGGTCCTACGGGTAGGACCAAGGTCTATGCAAGCTATCAATTAAATTACACAAATGTTGGCTCAGCTTGTCTTTTCAATTGTTTTATTGTTTTATTTAACAATTTCGTTGGTTTGTTGAAACGGAAACGGCCCACACAGTCACTGGATGCCACGTCAACATGGAGGTATGCTTTGGGAATCCCATAAGAGCTGTAAAAAATATTCATTCATACTTACCCGATTGGCACTTGTTACCGGTAAATTCTTTCGGGCAGATGCATTTACCCTTGTCGTCACAATGACCTTGATTCAAACAGTCGCATGCTGCATCAGCCATCGCATGCGCACAAACAAGACGTGAGACAGAGGAAATGATGGTATGTTATAGGCTATTCATACTACGTTACAATACGCGTGACGTTTTGGAGCATGACGTACTGGCATACGTCGTTTTCATGCAGGTGCATTCACACAGGCACTCACACGCTGCTCATACAGCTGCGTGTTCAGCTTCTTTTCGACACAAACTGCTGGGAACGACAGAACAAAACTCGGTACAGGAGTCTGGATACGTCGTCTACGATTTCGTACCAGAGGTACGATTTTCCCGCCACGTTCCATGTTGTCATGGCTATCCGGACGAAAACGTCACGTACGCCACGTTCTGGGCGTAGTGTGAATGGCCCATTAGGGGCCGGCCGTAAGTATCGATATTTACAACTCAAACCCACCCTATACCCCTCCTCTCAGAACGTGCATATACAGCACCCTGTCACGCGTGTGTCAATGCTCCTACTTCTCTGGACATGTTTCAATGTATCCTGAAAGGAAATTGGTCAACCCGTCCCAGCTCATAACAGAAATAATTTGTATTCAAAAGAATAACCCTTGATATCTACGAATGACCCCTTACTCAATGAGCAGTGGAAATAGTGAAATTTGACCACCCATAATGACCGAGCAGCTGACACAGAGAAAATGCAAGCAAGCGGTCACGTGTTCATGCGTACTCGTACACGAGTCACCTGGTCACCATGCATTCAGGGCCAGTGCATGCTACAGCTTTCACACCAAGGTTCAAATCAAAGGTTCAAAGGTGCAACTCGAGTGACAGGAATGCTGTCAAATTTTTTTGGGATTGGGAATAGACACCGTTATCAAATAACGGTAACGCTATTTTTACGGTACTCACACCTTCATCACCCAAATAGCGCTGAAGCTGCAACGTTATGGAGCCACAGGAAAGTTTCAAAATTCTGCATTTTAAAAAAAAAAACGGTCATTACAGGGTGTGGGAGGGGGGGGGCTATTATTCCAGAGAAGACTTCTGATCATGTGAGCATAGTAGCATTCAAGTTGTGAGAATTCTCAATGAAATACACGGAGTTGTATGTGAAACTGCAGGCTACACACACGTCAGGCATTACACACTCCATCTAGCTATAAATAGTGGTCACATTACACTGACGGTATCCCAACTCTTTAATTACCAGATTTTGTATGCTCCGATCTATTTCCTTAGCCTATCCTCGATTAACTGCTCCCTCTACATAAAGGGGGCGTTCGTTTTTGATCTACGTTTGGGTAGAAACTACTTCTTACAGTAGAGGTGTTCGTTTTTTGAAAAAAAATTCTACTCAATAGGGTAGATTCTACTTTCCTCTACCGGCTCTACCGGGAAAAAGTTGGTAGAATCCGGTAGAAGTTGGTAGAGCTACAGGATTTCCAGCAAGATCAAGGATTTGTACACAACTCCATACAAAAAGAAACATTTCACGTACACATTGTGTAAACTACTAGATCTGGTAGAACAGCGTTCGTACACTTGCCTCCACCATCTACCTCTATCGGTAGTGTGACTCTACTCTACTCTACCAGGTAGCTAAAAACGAACGCAGCCAAAGTTTTCATTTCATTCTTCTTGCAGGAGATCCCCTCAACAAGCCCAAAGCCTTTGGGAAATCCTTAAATATAATAAAATTCAAATACATCTAACAGATCTCTGCTGTTTTCCCGCTATCTTGTTAGTGTTCTTCACCTTCTCTACTCAGATTATCAAACACGCGCACGCTTGCACACACACACACACACACACACACACACACACACGAAGTTACCAGGAAACTATTTTAGATCAACTCGAACCCTCTTAAAAGCTGAGAACCGTTCACAATGCTTGTTTATCGTGATCATTTTGCTGAGAGAGGCGAGCTGAGGCTTTGTGACCACACACCCGTGCACATACATACACACACACGCGCACGCACGCGCACACACACACACACACACACACACACTACTACTACTACTACTACTATGATACAGCTACCCTAAATGGGTCACGCCGCCCTCCACCCAAGCATGGGCACTATGAGGGGCAGTGGCAAATAAAGAGAATCAGCTAGCAGCAATGGCAAAACAGATGAAACAATGGAGTAGAACGGACAACTGCTGTACTGTTACAACAACCTGACAGTGACAACGACTGAAAATGAACAGGAAAGAAAAGAATACTGCAAAATTTTACGTTACAAAAAAACACTGCCCACGAAAGAATCCACCAAGCAAAAGGAGTGTTGGCATCCAAAAATCCCACCAGGATTCCACTGCGTAAGACATGCGTGGGTTGCTATGAACCCACACACAGAGGCAATAGCAAAGTCACACCTTAGTGGATCCAAAAAAGAAATCTGATGTCAACTTACAACTTGTATAGTGCTGAGAAGTTTTTATTAACAGCTTTTATTTTTCTGATTCGTTTTTATGACCAATCTGTGGTCACAAATCAATGGGGGTCTTTATTCAGTGGATAATTATAACTAAGAATAACTATTATTGTATTGTAGAAGGGTTTCCTTGAAGGGTTGTGGCGTTCCTACGGATACGGAAAACTCGGCTTCCAGCGCGAACCGTGAATTTGTTTGCCACAACAATGCATGTAAAAAGCATGGCCACCTGCTTACTGTACACTTTCTTATGTAGTGCAAGTGCCTGATAGGGTATCCGTGCTACCCGGATAAACATACCCGAACTCGTTGCCCAACCAAACCCCTACCTGTTGCAGCCCTGCTGAAAAGTCGCTCGTACACACCAGTCGTCTGTCTTATCAGAG